TATATATATATATATATATATATATATATATATATATATATATATATATATGAGAATTCAAACGGCATGCATATTCGTAATCTACGACCCGTGATCGATGCTCATTACATGGTCTTTGGTCCAGGTCTGACATCAGGGGAGAACGCAATAGTGTATTTCCCTCGGAGAATACACTAAAATCGCGCCCAGTAAACTTCGACAGAGACAATATACAATGCGTAAAACTATCGGTAGTCATCGTCAAATTGGAGTCTGCCCTCAATTTTGCCGTTGAGGCAAAAAACATACCGGGGAATGCGAAATGTTTTCTTTTCGTAGAAAATACATACGATTATACCTCCACCCATAAACTTTGATTTTGTAAGCCAATTAAAAAGGCTTATACCTCTTTGTAGACATTGTCAACTTGAAGGTCGTTTATTTTGTTTTATTTTTTGTTTTATTTTATTTTATTTTTTTTTACAGGCAACATCAGGGCCGGATTTAGGGGGTGGCCACATGGACCGTGGCCCATGGCGGCAAAATTTGCAATTTTTTTAAATATAGGACTAAAAAAAAATCAGATTCAGAAAAGAAATTACAAACGAGAAAAGGCGACAAAATCTCTAATTTTCTGAGAGTATAGTAATTTCTAATTTTGTCGTCTTTCGGTAATATAAAAGACAGCACCTTTAATTAGTCGAGTTAAAAGAGAAAACAAACACGCAGTTCGGCCTCAAATGGCGCGGCGCAGAGAGCAATGATAACGAGGACTTGAGATGAAAAGGAGACGCCCTCGGCGCGGCGATCGGCATGGAACGCGTACTAGCGCCTGCAATACTGCACGAATACTTCACGCATTGCGTCAAAGTTAGGGCGTTCAGCAGCGGTCGGCGTGAAACGCAAAGCGCCTACAAGACTGTAAGAATACTGCACGCATTGCGCCTAACACAGTGCGGTCAGCGTGGCACGCGACGGCGAAAGTTAAAATGATTAAACCACATATCGCCGGTGAAAGTCGGCAATCACATAACTCGTTTGCGGTGTCTGAAAATCTCCGCCTCTACGTCATTTTCTTAAAGGAGAACAAATTGACATTATTGCTTAAAGTTTTTGCAGAATTTTCTTCGCATTGAGAAGAAAAATCATGACAGTTTGAAAGAATTGCCGTTGAGTAGTTTTGCCATTTAAAAAATGAAGTATGACAGGAAGTCTACAACGTCGCAAACCGAGTTATGTGATTGCCGACTTGCACCGTCGATATGTTTGTTCTTTCATAATTTTTTCGTTCATTTCTTATAAATGGAAGGCCTTGTTCACACAGAGGTCGGTTCACGGAAATTAACTTTCGCGCAGAGTTCCGTAAACTTTTACTAGTAGAGCTTGACAGGGCTTTCGCAAAAAATATGTCCAACACGAGTAAACGCGTCTTATGCATTCCTCCCCCTCCGGCACGTTTACTTCTTGGTTTTCATTGATGTTTCAAAACGAATGAGAAGGGGCGGCAAAATACAGGCGGCCCATGGGTTGCAAGTAGGTAAATCCGGCCCTGGGCAACATATTTACCGGGTAGCGCGAATAGCTATACTCATTAAAAAAACATTCATGCATCCCGTTCCATGAAAATGCCAATGGAAAATACGTAAAAAACATCATGCAGAATCTTATCTGATTTCAAAATTAATGTCTAAGTAAAATTTACTATATTATAAGTCAAAATGGAATGAAAAAATGTGGATGCAAAAATTAGTGGCAAAATTCAAATGATATATTTCGCAAGTTTAAGAGAGTGAAAAAAAATTCTTGAAACTCTGAGTAAATTAAGAAAATATCTACCCACCCGATAGAGCGAAAATTGAACAGTACTTAGGGATGAAAATTAAAGTTAGTCCAGTAAACTGATTCATGATTTTAATACTGCATGAGTAAGCGGTGCAATGATCAATTATTTTCAGAGTTATATACACATTTTAAACATGGATCTCTCAATCCATATGATGGATATCATGATTTTAGGATTTTTGGGCGCTTCTGGGTACCAGATGCGCCCTTTCCAGCCGTTCGACTCCCCCGATGTAACATGTACTATACTACATACCGTTTTGCCTTATGGGTAATGACGCCATTCTGGTACACCCGGGAAAATTTGATTTTCTTCTGCATCTGGTATTCGTAAAAGTTTTCGTGAAATGTTTTGCTTTTAAGCATAACAATCTCGCACGGACGTATTACCTGGTTGAACTATTTTGGGGCTTCGTTATGCTTAAATGCCTCATATTCGAGGTTGTAGTTTCAGATTGATTCGAAAAAATCACGAACAGTCACGTGATCTCTTCATTTTAGTGACGTATTACTGTGCTATTTTGTGATTGGTTCATTTTCTCGGCGCATCATCGTCAAGCGTCAGCTGTTTGCGGCTCTGGGTTGAAGGTTTAAAAGCGAATTTTCGCGATCGAATATCATTCACCGTTGAATGATATTCGACGATTGTGCATTTTTTTTCAATGATATTCGACTTCTTCGTTGGTCTCAGCAGAGACCGTTGAAATCCATCAATTTGAAATTTCGAATTCACCTCGGGACTTGAATTCGATTTTTGAATTGATGCAATCGATGTCAAAAAATTCATCTCTCACCAAAATTTTTGTTCTGTCATCTCTTTCTGTTGTTGTGTTTTGTCAATTCAAGTCTAGTGTTTTCGCAATTTCTGTGTTTTAGTGTTTCGTGTTTTCTTATTTTCTTCTTAATTTCATTTAGGAAAAAAATCTGAGCTCTGATTGGCTCCTGATATCACCGATCATCGGCATCACTCAGCACTGATCAATTCGTTTGATGAATGACATTCGATCGCGAAAATTCGCTTTTCGGTTATGTCAGAGAGAATAGAAAGTTAGAGGCCCGACTCGATGCTAGGTAATTGAAACAGATGCGCTCGCAGCGCGCTCGCTGGCAACGTACGCAACTGCTATTTTCTATGGTTTTCCAGAGACTAGCGGCGGGTATGTTGCTGCCGGACCACCTTCACGTAGGCAATTTGTTATACATCGTCCGTCCGCAATACTCTCGCTTGGCCGTATGAAAACGTTCCTCGCATGCGCAGTGTTAAAGAAGCGCCCTCCAACGCTTTGGCGTTGGAACTGCTTGTTTAACGTTGCAATCATATACTACGAATGTGACTTACCTAAGTATAATTGTTAAATTGCTCACAAAACGAACGACCTGAAAATTAGGTGGATGCTTTCTTTGCCAGACTTTCAGATTTTGTCTCTGCGTTTGACTTTTATACGTTCCTCATCTTCGGCGAAAAGAATGCACGTGTGAAAATATGTGCTTTCCAACGATTGTTTTTATTGTTTTTCGATTGATATAATAATAACTGAGTCGTAAATATAGCATTGTTTGCATCTTCTTCCTATTGTGCTCTTCAAATTTTAGGAACATCGAGTCTCCCGAACAATGGCTCGGAAGCACTTTTACAATCTTCTCGACGAACAGAGACCTTGGAGTAATTTTCCTTCACTTACGTTTTACGTAACTCGTGAATACGAAATATTGGGGTTACATGATATTCTTCAAAAGATGTTGTTGCTATAGCAATTCATTGCATCTTGAGTTATAATTCGTCTTAATGTAAGATCAGGGTGCCCGCGTATGCCCAATCAAATTGGGGAAAGTACTCCAACTACTCCACCACGATTTTGTATTCCCATTGATATTGATGTAAAGCTATATTACGTTTGATCAAAAGGTAGGGTTTAATTTAGGAAACAGAAAGCTGGTGCTAATTTGTTCGAAAATTTCTTTAAGATTCATTTTACTTATGTATGAAGATTGAAAAAATCTGCCAACGGATAGGATTGGATCAAAAAAATTTAGCATTATGAATAGATGATGATCGGAGACTCTATATAGCGAACTTTATGCTGATCTTTTTCTAGAAATATTAAAGAGAAATATCAGCAAAATTTCAATCAGCAGTGTACGAATGAGTAGTGCACAGTGGCGTGGCCTGAATTGCGATATATCGATTGTTAAATAGGGTGTTCGCAGCGAACACCTTAACAATCGATTCTTTACCATAAGTTTAATGGCATAACAATCGATATATCGCAATTCACGCCACGCCACTGGTAGTGCAGTGTTTTTTGCAGACATTTCATGATCTTACTTTTAAAATTGAAATACTTTTCAATCAAATCTGATTTATTAAGCAAGATTAGGCAAATCTGTGCTCTAGAATTGTGCAAACTTTAAGAAATATTTATGGAACAGACAGTATATATTTTTTAAACCTACTTGAATTGCTGATAACAGCATAGATTTAAATGGTCAATAAAAGGAAGATATTTCCTAAACACATTCTTCCCGATTGAAATCATACTTACTGTCGGTGATAATTAGAAAATGCGCACCACCATTTGCGGCATCTGAGACTCCGTATTTACTTTATTTTTTCAAAGAATTATCAAGGCAGAGCAACTTTTAATCCTCCTTGATAGAATATTTTTTGGGAGCGAAGAAATATCAAAAGAAAGTTTAAGAAGAATGTTGAAAAGTTTGCCTTTTTAAAATAATATATTTCAGGAGATTTGCAATGTCAAAACCTGAAGTACGTGTTTTTGAACTTTCAGCGCATTTCATGCAATAATACGGTCATTTCTTGAAACGGCAAACAAATAAAAAAATAAAGAAAGTAACTGAAATTGAGCTCGCTGATAAAAACGCCTGAACGCATCCGAGAAAAAAAATTCCAAATATATTTTTTGAGTCCGGGCTTTGGTCCAGATCCCACCAGCATAGCAGGGACACGTGCAGCTAGTGAGGTTGGAAACGAGGACCTCGGCCCCAAGAAATCTATCCGGGGCTTTTCAGTTATTTACCTGTTGAAAAATCGTGGGAACTTTGCGAGTTGCAAAAATGCAAACCTTGCAAAATACAAGGAACCAAAGATGAACAGAGACCCTCCGTTAATACTTCAGCAATAATGAAAACTTTTATTAACTGGGATTCAATATTCTCTTACGAGGAGCAAGAGTTACTTTACTTCATTGTTGGCTGATGAGTCTTGGGCTAAGCAGTGCGTCCAATAAGTGTAGCAAATATTGGCATGTTTGGCATACGAATCGCTTAACACGTTACTCAATAGCTAAGAAAAGCATTTCAATCATCAAGGGGTGAGAACTGCACCACAGTACAATCGCTGTGCAAACTTTCACTGCACTAAACTGCAGTGAAAGTTTGAAAGTATAGCGATAAGGCTACAGATGATGGTCTCTTTACGTTCCTGAAAATACCACGGACGCCCATTTCGACGCGTCCGCGTCCATGTCTAATTTTTGAGGGCCAAGGCAAGGGTTATAATTGTTCAGCACGCATCAATTATGAAACCCGAAAATATGCTCTTAGCCCACTAATGAGGTGAATCTCATCTCTCCTACGGGGTCCCGTGCTCCGTCGGATTTCGCTGCCAACTCTTCCCATCCGTCCGTGGAGAATTTCAGGAGCGCCAAGAGTCAACGTTAGAATTTTTATTTTGGCTTGAAATTGGCATCTAGCTGTAGAATACTTTTCACCATATCATGTTTCACGTTATTATCTCCACAAATGAGGAAAAATACTTCATTTATCCAATCATGTAATTTCCTTTAATATACATTAAAACATTTTCTTCAAAAACGAATTAGTTTTGAAAACATCTGAAATTTTAAATATAATTTGCGAATAATGCGCTTGCGGCATTTATATCTTTCAGAAGCACCAAATGATAGTCAATAGGGTTTGTTTAATAGGCGATAATTGATATACTTTTAAGGCTGAAGTCGAGCGACACGTAATTTGGACTACGTTTTGCAATTTGGTACTATAAATTCCAGCCCGGTTTAAAAACAACGTATGTGCAATTAGTTTCCCTATGCACGTATGTGTTTTTCCAGAAAAGCCAGAATTTATAGTTCCAAATTGCAAAATGCAGTCCAATTGATAAGACAAAAAGAACCAAAACAACATGGATGTTGAAAAAAGGAAAGCCTGGCATCGATAACGGCGCAAACATACAACTATTCGTGCTTGATGGATGTCCGCGTTGCGTCTGTAGAATTGAAGGCGTGATGGCGCGAGGCGAGAACTCGCAATGGTCTCCTCTATGCTGCCAAGGAGCCATTAAGTAGGACGAGCAGATATTCTACTTTTGGGAAGCAGGAAATTTGAATGGACAGAGGTCGGAAACGCTGATTCTCACTTTTGAATTGTATGACAATTGAATTATAGAATGCTGATAACAGACGCATAGTTGGACTGCATTTTGCAATTTGGAACTGTTAATCCTGGCTCATTTAAAAAACCACTTATGTGCATAGGGAAACTAATGGCACATACGTTGGTTTTAAACCGGGCCAGAATTTATAGTTCCAAACAATGCTACGACCATTCGTATTTCAATGCCGGGCGCTTAGCGTACCTAAGTAACTAAAAGTCACTTCCAAGCGATTGGAACCACGTCTTCGACTAATCTGAAATGAAATTCACTAAAAAGATCCAGCTCGAATTGGTTCCCTTACGAGAACTCAGTTGCGCTCATGAGAGAAGCCAGGACGGAACCAGCCGTGAGTTGGTTCCTCACTGTGAAATGGTTCCTCCGATTCATAAAAGCAAGGTAAGGCACCAATCACAATCGATACATTCAATTAGATACTTTGAATTGTCGACTCAATTATTTCGGTTTTAGTGAGTCCCCAAAACGTGTTTCGGTTGATGAGAAGCAAAACTTTGGTTTTTTCAAGCGATGGTAAAGAACTGGTGCACCAAACCTTTTCCCTCGGTTTTCTTAAAACGGCTAAAAGCGTGCCACTTCCCAACTGCTTGATGAGATCCCTTTTCCCGGACAAGACGCTTGTGATGCACCTGCCCCTAGATGTTTTTTTATTTATTTCAAGATTTTAATTACACAAAAAAACTGTTACTTTGGCACGCAAAAGTATGTGCGCCATCTGATTTTAAAGATAACTTAATTTCGGTAAAAACGGCGCTTGTGATTGGTACTTCTCTCAGAAGTGACGACTTTCCTCTGAACGATAGTAAGTATAGTATGAAAGATCCTTACTTCAATATATGGTTAAATTATCTGAAAAAACTAAAGAATGACCTGAAAACAATAGGTAAGGGGGTGTGGGGAACGACTTTCCGTAGTCGTTCAGCCCAGTTTCCACTTGAAATACTTTCATGTGCGTCACCTACCTTCAGAAAAAAAGGAGCAAGTAAAAATATGTGTATTTCACTAAATGTCTTCAGCTATTTATTGTTTCCCAAAAGGAGTGGTAGCGGTCCAGTTTTAACTGCGATGCATTCTTTCCAGTTCTCTATTGTACTTTTCCTGTTGTATGAACAATTTAAACAATGGTACGGAAATATGCTCAGAATGTGTGAAACAAACGAAGGCCTTGAGCGATTTTCATGCACTTCGCATACCATTTGTGGTTAAAAAATATGGGATTACAGTAAGTAAAAATGCATCTTCGCAATGCAGAATGTATTCGAGCCTCCTTCTTTAAAAGTCTCGTTGCTCTTCACTCGGATTGAGAAATCTTTCAAGTATTATTTTTCTCACTAAAACGCCTGAAAAGTCATTGAATATTTAAACGGGGGGAGCGAGAAAGTAAAATATAGTATAGGAAATCCTGTTAGAGTCAATAAATTCCAATTCTCGGTTTTTGCAGCCACGTTGCACTGGTGGCATAAAAAGGCAAATGAATGCAATGAAACACCACACAAGGTGAGAAATACAGTATACTGCAACATATGTCTCCCCATCAAAGTTTTTCGTGGAATTCTGTCAAAAAATAAAAAAAGAAAAACCAAGAGCTCATCAGTGAAAAATTGTAATGTTGTCTGTTTCTATCACTTTAAAATTCCCGCTTCGCAAAAAAAAAAACGAAAATATATTCGTACCATAAACCAGCCACTAAACGATTTCCTTCTTTGAGTTAATATTTTTCTCAGTGTGCTGGATTTTTCTTCGCAACTTTACAAATGCAACGTTTTAAATTTGAACTTTTTTTCCCTAAATTCGAGATTACCTCTTTGTCGTATAATCAACTGTATTACATTTTGCAATAAGGAAGTACTATTGCTGGTCCTTCCATACAGGCCCCTGTCTGCATAAGGAAACAAATGGCATATATCTAAAATGAGCCAGAAATAATGATTGCTAATTGCAAAATGTGGTCCTATCTGCTTTCAGTGGGCTTTACCTTGCTTTTAATATTTCCGTGAGGAGGAAGTTGATATTGACTCATTTTTTAAACACTGACTTGTCACACATCAGTTCATTTTGAGCTCTTTTAACATTTTTGACGTATTGTGCGTGAATCGTTGACGAGGAGCCAAGACTTGCAGCAGTTTGGTTTACACCCTATCTGGTGGATACCGACAACATGTAATACACTTCTAGATTTGTGCGGTCGTCAAACGCCTTCATTTATGTAGCTATGCAATTCTATTCCGTAATGCACGAATAGTTGCATCAACGGTGTCGTCTTTATGTGTCCTCTATACGTATTAAAAAGAGATTATGAGAGCGGATGATTTTGACCGATAATAGATTACAATGACGCGTAAAGCACTCATTGGAAATAAAGTTGAACCAAGGGATGGAATCAATGGAGCCAAGTAGTTTTGCCAAAAATTGTTCACTGCTTGGAATCAAATTAATGCAGTTTATTATCAACAGGTACAATTTTTTGAAAAAGTAAACAATATTACCATCAACACAATAAATGAAGTTTTTCCGCAAGAAACTACTGAAAAACAAGAGGATTAAATGAGCAAAAAACAGAAACTAAATATCGCGGAAAAAAGATCCCGAATATCTCCTTCAGCAAGTGAGAACTTCTCGAGGTTTGAAATCGACGAGGATGTCATCTTTGTGGATGATGGCGAAACTCCTTGGATGGAAATCGTACGCGTCCATCTGCTTCGTGTGAGAGCGTGGTCTCACTTCGTACTTGTGCACCAGAGAGCCAATCAGAGCCGACCCCATTAAGAGAGCAACGTTCTTACCTATCAGGGAGTGAAAAAGGATCAATAAATTCGTGTTGTAATGATATATTCATAAAATGCATCATTCCCTCATTTGGAAGGCGAGGATAAATGGACTACATTTAGCAATTTGGAACTATAAATTCTAGCCCGGTTTACAAATAACGTGTGTGCCATTAGTTTACTTATGCACGTAAGTGTTTTTCCAGAAGAGCCAAAATTTATAGTTCCAAATTGCAAAATTCAGACCAAATATGAGAGTGCAAAGCTTTTATTTTTCGATTGAGGAGGTCGCAATATTCCTTGAACTGTTGTACAGAATTGGATAAATATTGTCCATTTATTGTTTGCCTTTATTTTGTACATGTAGTTGATTCATCTACCTGGGAGCATGAATGGTAAGTTATTTTATAAATATACAATTATTCCGCTGCACGCATTGTCTATACCGATCAATTATTGTCCAATTCTGTTGGTAGGTATCGTCCTCTTGAAGTTAGCCAGTTCAAAACATAGACAACAAATCCAACTGGGAGCCGGAATGAACCGAATGCTTTATTTATTTATTTTTTTCACATCACATTTATACTACCTCATAAGCTTCAATTTAACCGACGAACAATGTTGTGATGATTACTCATGTTATGGTTAACTTAAATTTCGCCTTGAATTTTGCCGCTTAGGCAACAAACATACAGTAGAGCACGAATAGTTATCTATTCGAAAGACATACATTATCTCGATCTGTCTGCTTTTACTGAAAATAGCGTTAGCTTCTTCATTTGTTTTTAGAAACCTCTAAAAGGAAATAGCAGAGCTGTAAAATAAAAAATTACCGATTTTTCAATGAGTCTTTCTTCCAATAGTTATTTAACTTTTATTTTTTAACTTAAATTTCCAATTTTTCAACAGTTTTGATTTCCCTCAATGATGTACGCAGGGTCGGATTTTCCTACTTGCCGCCCATGGGCCGCCTGTATTTTGCCGTCCCCTTCTCATTCGTTTTGAAACATCAATAAAAACCATCAAGTGAACGTGCCAACGGGGGAGGGGTGCATAAGACGCGTTTACTCGTGTTGAACACATTTTTTGGGAAAACCCTGTCAACACTACTAGCAAAAGGTCACGGAACTTTACGTGAAAGTCAAGTTTCGTAAACTTATCTCTAATGGACAAGGCCTTCCATTCATAAGATATGAACGAAAAAATTATGAAAGAACAAACACAAAATTGGTTTAATGATTTTAACTTCCGCCGCCGCGCCGCGCCGACCGCACTCTGTTTGGAGCAATGCGTGAAGTATTCCTGCAGTCTTGTAGGCGCTATGCGTTTCACGCTGACCGCAAAGGCGCAAACTGCTGAATGTGTTTGGCGCAATGCGTAAAGTATTCATGCATTCTTGCAGGCGCTATCCGTTTCACGCTGAATGCAATGACCGCAGTGTGTTTGATGCGATGCGGGAAGTATTCGTGCAGTCTTGTAGGCGCTAATATGTGTTACATGCCGATTGCCGCGCCGAGGCGAGGGCTTCTCCTTTTCATCTCAAGTCCTCGTCATCATTTCTCCCTAAGTCGCGCCGTTCCAGGCCAAATTACGTGTTTGGTTTCTCTCTTAACTCGACTAATTAAAGGTGCTGCCTCTTATGTCACTGAAAGACGACAAAATTAGAAATTACTATACTCTCAGGAAAATTAGAGATTTTGTAACTTTTGCTCGTTTGTAATTTTTTTTCTAAATCCGATTTTTTTTATACTTACATTTAAAAAAATTGCAAAATTTGCCACCCCCTAGATCTGCCGCCATGGGCCGCGGCCCATGCGGCCACCCCCTTAATCCGGCCCTGGATGTGCGCTGAATTTCTAAGCCCAGACGGTAATCTTTAGAGAAGGTAGACAGGTAGAGATGTGAAGGAAGGTGAGGAAACATTTGTACGGTTGGCTGACTCCTAAATGCTCTTACCTGGACACTTTCGAGGTCCTTTGCCAAAAGCCAGAAAAGCATCAATACTATCCTTGTTTTTCGAGCTGAAGCGGTTCGGATCGAATTTTTCCGGGTCCTCGAAATATTTTGGATCGCGGTGAATAGAGTAAGGGGAGAAGATCACTCGCTGACCTTTCTTGAGTGTGCAGTCAGTGCCGGCGAGAGTAATGTCCTCCGTGCACACCCTTGTTAGTGCTGTGTTATTCGGATACAAACGTGCAGTTTCTAGGGACACACAGACATTGCAAATGAAACAATGAAAATAAAATAAATGAAAATAAAAAATTACAAGAGGGGGAAAAAAATAAGTTACATCTGATTAATTATGGCTGGGGGCTATTTTTACAACACCTTTAGAGCAAGGTTGCAGGTTAAATTGGAAATGATCATAACGATTCAAACTCACCACGGAGACACTGGTCGATAAAATGGAGATCACGAACGACTTCGTAAGTGAATTCTGTAGTGTTGTGCTTCTTCATGACCTCTTCCACCTCTTGTCTTATTCGCTCCTGATATTTGGGGTGAAGAGACAGCAAGTGCAAAGTGAAGCTCGCTACAAAGCCAATTGAAATCCCTCCAACAAATAATAAGGACAGTCCAAGACCGACCATTTCATTCGTGATGTCCATCTCTGAAAATTTCAATGAAATGATTTTTCGTTGGTACCGTATGAAAGGCTAAATCGTAATTTTTAGGAACTTTAAAAATAAAGTCGTCCCTTGGGGTCGTATTTCTAGGACAGTAACTTTCCGTTGGGGCCTCACATGGTTATGACGCTGTGATTCAGGGAGGATTAAGGCAGTCTTGAACATATCAGTCTAAAAAAGACAATTACTGCAAGCCTCGAGTAAAAATGTTAATTGTACGTCCAGAGATGGAGCCTTGCATGCAAGGATCATAACTATTCGCTACTGAAAAAAATAAAAAATATAGGGGAAAAGCGATTATGATCGTGAGATTATTTAAGGTAGGTTTGAACCTACCATTGGCAAAACTCGCAAAGTATGTATATTCTTTTGAATTATGTAATTTCCTTTAGAGGTAAATCATTAAGTCTCCCCCAAGAGATCTGTAGATCTGTTTCCAGAGTTTTACAATACTAAATTTTACGCGAGATTTCCATAAATTGTCCATTTTATGATCCTATAATATTCAGAGCTTCCTTATACGTCCCTCAACCTTAATGTAAACCATATTGGGCATTCTCAGGAAAGGCCGTGTTTAAAAAAGGACTATGTTTTGGACGACCGCGACCTCTCAAAAGACTTATACGGCTTAAAATTGTTGATATTCGTAATGCATTTATGATCTGAATTGACGGGAAAACTTTGTTTATGACAGTCTTTTACAATTATATCTTAAGGTGCTGAGGGGAGATATATGACCATGAACTGCATGGTACAGAAAGCTGTACCGATATAAAATCTTCCTCCGCGCAGTTTTTGAATTTTAATGAAGCTGTTTCTGAAAACATGCCCTAAGATGAGATATGAAACCCATAAATTTGAAAAAACTCTAACATAGAACTGGATAGGTCTTCGTCATAAACAGAGACAATCCACCTCTGGCTTGACACCTCGCAAGTGTTACTTCCTCAACACCCATGTACCCCGGCTTTTTTTTTGAAGGGGGTGGAATTCCCCCCAACGTACAGCTGTCGAGGCTTCATAGTTTTTAAGCACCCTCTTGCACCTGAGCGCCCTCTTACCTGAATCCTTTGTTTTGTCTTGACTTTGTTCTTTAATGTCAAGGAGGATGTCGATTAAGTCATTTTCATTGCCACCGGCCCGACTTCTTTGCGACATTTGCTTCTGAAGCAGACTTTTCATCGATACCATATCCCTTGGAGTGACGAATTTTAACGAGTCTAAAGTCTGGAATCCCTGAAAGTTGAAACCTCGCAGCAGTCTGCTCCATCCTGGCTTAACGGAACTTTGAACAAGCTTACGAAGTTCCGTTTCCTTTTCGTACGAGTTGGCATCCATGCCAAAAAAGCTGTTGGAAAAGCCGTCCTGGATGAAATTCATCGTTACCTAGGAAACAACGAAACCTAAATTAAATCTTACGATACATATCATCATATCAAATTTTCATATTGCGTCCAACAGCTTGTGCGATAAACCACTCGTAGACCGTATTAGAAATGTTGGTAGAGGCTACCGTGTGCCATAAAATCTGGAGCTTGGCCAATTTCCCACCGAGTTGGACTCGCTTGTTTCAATCAGTGGTTTCATTAAATAGGTGACTATTCCTAACCTGCTGTGTATTGAAGGGCTTTCCCTGGAGCCGCGCCTCCTCAGCGTGGGTCCACATGTTGGTGATCTGGTTCGTGATCTTGGCGAAGTGCTCACCGCTCACCCTTCCTGTGGCAAACATGGGCGAGAGAGTGTTACGGTCGGATTTCCACACGCCTTTATCCGTGCTCTGGGCCAGAACGTGTTGTGCTACCTCGTCGTGAGGTGATGCTCCCCACCAAGTCTCGAAGGCTTTGTCGAAGTTTTTCGCAAGTATCTGTAAAGAAGAGCCGATGGAATTTAGAGTCAATTACGTAAAGATACCCTGGGAAAATTGTCCTATGGGTACCAACAAAGAAATTCCCATTGGAACACGTGCGGGCTAACGGGTCCCCACTGGCAATTCGTGATGGTTCCCATTAGGACCCATTGGCATTTCATGGAGCCCATTGGATTCCCATAGGTTTCTATTGGATGCCATGAACCACCTGTTGGTTCCGATTGGGATTTTGTGAATCCCACTGGTTGCCCATTGGAACCTGCTGGGTCCCAGTCCCTAATGGAATCTAATGGGATCTAATGGAATCTAAAGTACACTCCTCTACCAGAGCGAAATCAGTGACTCACCTTTATTTAAACGACTAGACAAAATTACATCCTACGCGCTGGAAAGGTCGCATTCAGAGAAGGATGCTAATCCCTTACGACTCGGACTCTGTTTCAAATAACGTGCTCCTTAACAGGACGACCCTGGTAAAACGGTCGTAAAGGAACCCATTAGATTCCAATGTGAACCAGGACCCATCAGGTTACTATGGGCGTCAAATGGGATTCACGACATCCCAATGGGGGCCAATAGGTGATTCATGGCATCGGAACCTATGGGTACCAAATAAGGTCCATGAAATTCCAATAGGAACGCAGTGGGATCCATGAAATTCCAATGGGTCCCAATGGGAACCATCACGAATAGCCAATGGGGACCCGTTGTTGGCACGCACGGGTTTCAACGGGAATTTCTCCGCTGGGTACTTATAGGACCATTTTACAAGGGGATCCTGAAGAAGAAAAGGTTGGTTTCCACGGTTCAGTCGGATTTAAAGGCAATCTCTTCAATAAATAATGGATTTTCTGGTGATTTAACTTTCAACTAGTGAGGGCTAGTAGAGAGCCCCCACTCTGTCTTCGAGTCTAACCAACTAACCTGTTTGATGAGTGCCGGGCTCCGGACGAGGACGACAGGCATGGTGGCGATGAAGAAAGCGACGAGGTCCTTGTCCTTATTCTCCCGGTAGATGCGGTCGACGGGGACGACGGCGGAGTTGCTGCCCACGCTCCAGAAGTACTTGTGTCCGATCAAGAAGCTCGGCTCCAGAAAAGGGATCTTCGACTTGCGCCACTCCGCCACGCGCCGCGAGTAGACCAGGTAGTTAAGCGCGAAGCACAGGGATCCCGCCAATAGGGGCACGTACAGCAGGGCCGGCAGGGAAGACAGGGGCTCTAAGAAATCCATCGCGGGCTTTTTCACCTGCTGCAACGACGTGGAAGCTGGAGGAATTAGTAAGAAAAAAAACTTTCATTTTGAAATTTCTGAAGCTGTTGTTCATTTATTACGTAACGTTGAATCGATGCACCTCCTCTTCCGGTCGTCACTTTTCACGCAATGCGACCCCCTCTACTTGAAATATTGGGTCACATTTTACCAGGCCCCTTCAACGTAAACAACGGATACTCCCCCACCTGTACCTGCTTGACGAAAAACTTTCATAAATGTAAGATCATCGAGGTTTTAATCGACTTTAGCCGGACATTTGACAGGGTCAGACCCTCCTTCTGTCACGAATGTACCTATTACGCGAGGCCAACCCTTGTCGTTCTTGTAGTGCGAACGGTAATTTCTGATTGACTGATTATGTAAACATACGAAGACAAAAGTATGCACGAAAGTCTTGAAATTATTTTTTTTTTTTTCGTGGGCAGATGAGAATATTTTTATCTATAAAATGCCATAATAAATCCAATACCTGTTGATTTGAAGCTCAGAACCATTCTTGGTCCAAAACTTGACTTGCCTTCTCCGTTAAGGATCTTATTTTCGCACGTGGTAATTCAATAATGAAACGCGTGAATCAGTGTTAAATTAAGATGACTTTTGACGGCTTAAACTGGAGATCAATTACATTTTCACTTCACGTGACATGGACTTAGTAATTTATGACAGGAAAAAAAATTCGTATTTGCAAATTTATTGCTTGCAAAAGAAAATTTTGATATTCCATAAGAAAATCTGCGGAAATATGTTGCCTAATTAAATGCAGTTACGATGCCTTTGGTCAAAGCGGCTCATTTCTTGTTTGGTCATTCAAAAATTAAGAATTCATCTAATTTTGAATTTTTTTTGTAAGAACATTCATCAATAACAATACAAGGGGTGAAATTATAAATAGTGCATGTATGCATGAGTAAAAAATAACCATTTTTTGACCTAATCGTTGTATCATTTTGAGATTGCTCCAATTCGCAATACTTCAGAGAAGCATATTCAGATTCAGCGAGCTTGCAGGCATGCATTTCTATCTACCTGTCAGTTAAAGATTTCTTTTTAAAAAAAATTAGTAAGCATTGTGCGTATAATCGTCACTTACCTCAGAGTAAAATATGTGAAGTGACTGACAAAACTGAAGAATTATGAAAAATTAGGAGCTATGTTATCGAGAAGAAAGTCATGAGCAGACTTTCAGACTCATTTTCTTCGTGAAACATTTTATAGGCCCCATTATCCTCCTAAAAAAAGGAGTACGTGTTAAATTAAGAGCACATCATGGCGGGCCATGACCTATTCTCTATTGTCTTGTGATTTTCATTTTAGCGAAGCATTTGTAATTGATGCATTGTTCAAAACTTCCTATTGTGCTCGTCCCATTTTTGTAGAACCGAAACAATGATGTGGAATATATAATGGAACAAATAATGGAATGGAAACGACTTCAAGATTTAAGATAAGAATAGAGGTTGTTGGGTCATTCTACTGCACTTTGACTGCTACATTTGATACAAAATATCAGGATTAAAATACATCGTCGGATTTATTAGCAAATATCGTCTACATGAGGTTCGTCCTCTTTTTTACCATGCAAGCTAGAGAGTGCGAAAAGTTATCTAATATCATTTGAATGCCGTGATTGAATAGTGCTGTAAGCTTTTCATCCCCATAGCATCTTTCGAGAATTGCTGTTCGATAGATTGTATTGTAATTTAGGAAAATTACCATCAGCTGAGATGGCACCGGCCGTTCAAAGTACTCATTTTTTTAAATTAAAAATGGCATTTTCTTCTCAGACTCAAATAGGATTTGGAAAACATAATTTAGATGATATAAAAAAATGCATAAAAATGCATAAAATCCAAAAATGCATGTTACTTGAAACATGGAGTAGCCGAGTGGCCATACCTTTCTCAAAAGGAATATTGCATGAAGTGATGACACCTCTTAGGAAATGTGTGAATCAACAAACCGACGATCATTTTTTGCGATAACTTTAATCGTAGTGCAGTATTTCTTAATTTTTTAAATTTATCGGAATGGAAATTGATAGGAAAAATAAATTTTAACGAAAAAGCAATTTCTATATGCACAATTTTCAGTGGATTTTATAGCCAAGTTTCGTCGGTTTTCAACGAAAATTTTTCAACCAGTTCATACTCAATAGCCGATTTTAAAATTCTAGCTACTTTTACAACAATTTTACCCAGAAACCGTAGAAAGAATCTAAAACTAAAAAAATGCATTTTATATTTATCGCACCATTTTTAAGAGGCACTACAAAAAATAAAAATCAACGCAAAAAATAACTTTTTACATTTATTCCTAAAAACTCATGAAACACACGAGGTTCTTAATCAGCAAAAAAATCAAATAAGACTTATTTCGACCAAAAATTTCGCAATATCTCCCTCAGCATGCGAGAATTTCTCGAGGCATTAAGTCGACGAGGATGTCATCTTCGTGGACAATGGCGAAACTCCGCGGATGAAAATTGTACGCGTCCATCTGCTTCGTGTGAGAGCGTGGTCTCATTTCGTATTTGTGCACCAGAGAGCCAATCAGAGCCGTCCCCATTAGGAGACCAACGTTCTTACCTATCAAAAATGATCAATAAATAATTTTAAGAGATATTTCCAAGGAGACATTATCCCATAAAATCTACCGAATTTCAATAAAATCGATCGGAGATAAAGTGAAACTTCCATTTTGTTACGGTATTTAAACCTATTTATTGTACCGAATTGATCACTAAACTGATTTCCAGTTCTCTTCACAATGCAATATTCTCTCGACGTGCGGAACTTTTCATGATACCTGACGTTGCACAGCACTGTGTTCCACAGTGGCTGGAGAGTATTATGAAATCCTACACTGCTCATTAATCGAACGATTTTGCTTCCAATGGCCATATTCTTCTACCTACACGTGCATTTTTGTGTTTTCATGAGCAGATAGTTTGAATTCACTGATTGTAAAGTATACTATCAAATCTAATTCCGCTGGCATCACTTAATTTTGAACTTTACCTTGAAAGATGAACGTCTTTTGAGTAAAATATAGATAAGAAAATATATCTTCAACTTCCTTCATTTTTACTTGGTCTTGTGGTCCATTGATCGATTTATCGTCTCGCAAATAGCATCACAACGTTCGTTCATGAAATTGTGTTATTTAGTTCGATTTCCCGACTTTCCCTCAAGCTATGCTGAAGTTCTAGGTTCACATAATATTGCATCAAAATTGCTGAATTAGTATAGGCTTTCAATGCTCTTACCTGGACACTTTCGGGGTCCCTTGCCAAAAGCAAGGAAAGCGTCGATACTATCTTTGTTTTTCGAGCTGAAGCGGTCCGGATCGAATCCATCCGGGTTCTCAAAGTATTCCGGGTCGTGGTGAACAGAGTATGGGGAGAAAATGACTCGCTGGCCTTTTTTGAGAGTGTAGTCAGTTCCAGCCAGATTGAAGTCCTGCGTACATACCCTCGTTAATGCTGTGTTATTCGGATACAAACGCACAGTTTCTAGAATCCCAAAAAAATGAAATTGAAGACACACAGACATTGCAAATTAAACAAGGAAAGTAAATGAAACGATAAAAAAAAACAAGAGGCAAGCGAAAGAGTGGATCACTGAATCATTTCAGGCAGCCAAACCGGTTACAAGTTGATGGTGTTGGTAGAAAAAACATGGATTTACTTCGTCAAGCGCGGGAGGGGCGGAGTGAATAAAAAGGAAATTAACATTTCTTAAAAATTAAGGTACACTTATATGGTTATCTATTGGAGGAAGTTTGGTTTTTACAACATCCCTGGAATACGTACGAGGGAAATTATCCGAGGTTGGAACAATCACTGACTTACCGCGTAGACACTGGTCGACGAAGTGGAGATCACGAACAACTTCGTAAGTGAATTCTGTAGTGTTGTGCTTCTTCATGACCTCTTCAACCTCTTCTCTTACTCGATCTTGGTATTCAGGGTGAAGAGACAATAAGTGCAAGGTAAAACTCGCCACAGTCCCAACTGAAATCGCCCCGGAAAACAATAAGGATAGTCCGAGACCGATCATTTCATTCGTGATGTCCATCTCTGAAAATATTAACACAATAAATTTAAAACTCGTTCTCGTGCCGACGGGTGAATCATTATTCGTCGGTGTCGAAAAAGAGTTTTTGATAAAAGCGTCTTGCATTTTTTAAGTTCGAATTCACGACGGAAGGGGATAAGCAAACTCCCCCTATGGTGGTATTTTGATATTATGTTGATGAGCCCAAGTAAAGAAGTCGGGTATGTAGACTGCTTGGTATAGAAATCGGTGGTTGCTTCAAACCTCGGTAGTCTTAAACCCTTGATTGCTTGAATTTGTTTCTTTTTTTATATATATTTCTCAGGGCCGGATTTAGGGGGTGGCGGTGGCCACATGGGCCGCGGTCCATGCTGGTAAATTGCAATTTTGACGATGTGATACAATAGACAGCACCTTTAAATAGTCGGGTTAAAACTAAGAGAGGAATCGAACACGGAATTTGCCCTGGAACGGCGCGGCGCAGAGAGCAATGATGACGGGATCTTTAGATGAAAAGGAGAAACCCTCGGCGCGGCGCGGCGGTCGACATGTACACATACTGACGTCTACAAGACTGCGTGAATACTTCACGCATTACGCCAAACACAGTAGCGCCTGCAAGACTGTTGGAATACTTCACGCATTGCGCGAAACAGTGCGGCGAGCGAGCGTGGCGGAAGTTAAAATAATTAAACCACATTTATGTTTGTTCTTTCATAATTTTTTCGTTCATTTCGTATAAATGGAAGGCCTTGTCCACGCAGAGATAGGTTTACGGAACTTCAAGTTCCGTGAACTTTTGCGAATAGAGTTGACAAGGCTTTCGCAAAAAATGTGTCCAACAAGAGTAAACGCGTTTTATGCACCCCTCCCCCTCCGGCACGGTTACTTGATGGTTTTTATTGATGTTTCAAAACCAATGAGAAGGGGGCGGCAAAGTACAGGCGGCCCATGGGCGGCAAGTGAGTAAATCCGGTCCTGATATTTCTTAACTATCGAGGTCCAAGAGTTTTTGATCAACCCCTTACCTGAGTCTTTTTTTTTGTCTTGATCTTGTTCCTTAAGGTCAACGAGGATGTCGATGAAGTCATTTTCATTGCCACCGGTTCGACTCCTCTTCGTTACTTGCTTCTGGAGCAAATTTTTCATCGAATCCATGTCTTTCTGAGAGAGGAATTTCAACGACTCGAAAGCTTGAACTTCCTGAAGGTTGAAGCCACTCAGCAGTCTGCTCCATCCTGGCTTAACGAACTTTTGAACAAGCTTACGAAGCTCCGTTTGCTTCTCATACGAATTGGAATCTAGACCAAAAAAGCTGCTAGAAAAGCCGTCCTGGATGAAATTCATAGTAACCTAGGAAAAGGAGAGAGAGAATATTCAATGCGATGATACATAGCACATTTGCATTGAATTTTGCAATTTGGAACTATAAATTCTGGCTTTTTTGGAAAAACACTTATGTGCATAGGGAAACTAATGGCACATACGTTGTTTTTAAACCGGGCTAGAATTTATGGTTCCGAACTGCAAAATGTAGTCCATTTAATTGTAAAGTTCTTGTAAAATTCGGATGTGTAACCCGAACTTCAGCAGCTAGACCTTAAGTTCTCAGATACACGATTTAAAAACTTCAAAGATCAATATGACCTAAACTTCGAGTCCCGAGCACGAAGTTTTTTCTCCGAGTAATTTTTCATAAAATAATGAAGATTAACAGAAAATCTGCAACGTTGCAACCGTAAGCGCAAGTAAGAGGGGCGCCAATGATTTTATATTATTATTAAGTTTCAATCACTCGTCTTAATCTCACATCCATGGGTAGCGCAGGTAGTAGCGCACATTACGAGTGCTCAAAATTGTATCAACGCAATAGAACTATGTGGACTGACAACTTTCTGATGGTCATATTTCTCTAGTACTACGTCAATCCTCATGGAGTAGAATGATCATTCACATCTACTCCCCGAGACTATTCCATATATTTTGTAACTAAATTTCGGAGATAATCGGGACCGGGTTCCAAATTATCAGAATGATTTGCGAGGCAATTAAATATTTTTCTCCGAAATAAATCTGTAAAAGTAATCAAACAGATAGAGTAGGTCTGTTACGGAAAATACACGATTAGACTGAAATTTGATCATTTAAATTTTGCTTATCTTTCAAAACGCTGTAAATGGGCCATTAAGCATGAGTCTATAAAATTAAGATGAACATTTTATCACGTGAACGACGGATGCCTCCAAATTTCCCGGGGTGCGAGCCGCACTGAAAAGATGCACTGAGGAGCTGCTGACACAAAAAGTTCAACAGACCCCAAAATGTCATAAAAAATATCAAACGGGCTCCAAAATTTTGCGAAAGGGGCGGCTGAAGCGCCTATAGGTCTTTTATGGCCAAGATCTGGGGGCAATCATGGCCTAGCCGATGGGGCCGGTCTGTCCCCGATAAACATTGGGAATACTGATTCGAGTGTCACTTAGTTACTATATTAGGACTAATTGGACTGCAATTTGCAATTTGGAATTGTAAATTCTGGCTCATTTGAAAAAAACACTTATGTGCATAGGGGAACTAATGTCACATACGTTGTTTTTAAACCAGGCCAGAATTTATAGTTCCAAATTGCAAAATGCAGTCCACTTCAAACCTGCTGTGTGTTGATGGGCTTTCCCTGGAGGCGAGCATGCTCGGTGTGGGTGAACATGTTGGTGATCTGGTTCGAGATCCTGCCGAATTGCTCGCCGCTCACTCTTCTTGTGGCAAACATGGGTGAGAGGGTGTTTCGGTCGGATTTCCATAGGCCTTTGTCCGTGCTCTGAACCAGCACGTGCTGCGCTATCTTGTTATGAGGCGGAGCTGCCAAGAAAGTTTCGAACGTTTGGTTGAAGTTTTTCGCGAGTATCTGTAATTAAAGAGCCAACGGTGTTTGATGCAGGATTTTATGGGAGGTAGTTAAGTATTGTTAAAAGAAGAGCGTCTGGCCGTGGAAGACCACGAAAGTGCAAAAAGTGAAAATCACCTCACATGATAATTGTTTACAGTTTCAGGTTGATAGCGAGTCGCAGTATTGAGCCCGTATCAGACGATCAAAGTAGAGGCTTCAAAGAGACTCATCGATTGCCAAGAGTTAAACCGCTAGCCAATGAGCGGGCCAGGAAAGGCATCGATGAACCTCATTGAAGCCTCTACTTTGATCGTCTGATACCGTATCAACCCGGGTTTTAAGCAGGTTATTCAAAAGTTGGGCAAAAAGGTAAGTGACATGGTCCCGCAAACAGAATTTTCCACCTTTGTTTGAGAGGTCTGCGCAAAGGCGTCGGTGCTTTGTAAGCCAAACTAACTGACCTGTTTGATGAGTGCCGGGCTTCGGACGAGGACGACAGGCATGGTGGCGATGAAGAAAGCGACGAGGTCCTTGTCCTTATTCTCCCGGTAGATGCGGTCGATGGGGACGACGGCGGAGTTGCTGCCCACGCTCCAGAAGTACTTGTGCCCGATCAAGAAGCTCGGCTCCAGAAAAGGGATCTTCGACTTGCGCCACTCGGCCACGCGCCGCGAGTACACCAGGTAGTTAAGCACCAAGCACAGGGATCCCACTAGTAGTGGCACGCACAGCAAGGCCGGAAGTGAGGACAGGGGCACCAAGAAATCCATCTCGAGCTTTTTGGCCGGCTGCAAGAACGTAGAAAGTTTATGATTTGGGAAGGAAAATGTGGACTCATTCAAATGCCTAGAGCCCCTCATAAATCACTTTTGTTGAAATCGAGCCTCCCTTTCCGTTAATCACTCAATTCTGTCATCCTTTTAACCGAAAAAAGTGGCGTTACGTTTTGCTGCGACCCTTCTGCCTACGTGAACGACGGATTTTTCGACGGAATTTTTATGGAATTTGTGCTGAAAAGTCTAAGACTTCGGCGGCTCGCATCGATTTCAGCGTGAAGACGTAAACTCTTGTATTATTTTAAAATTTAAAATTTTAGGAATAAACAATTCTTCAGTCAATAATTTCCAAATTCTATGAGCCCATGGACCCACACATTAATCTAAAGCTGACATTTTAGTATTTTTAAAATTAGGAAACATGGTGATAGTGAATGATGTTACTTACGTTAGAATAAACGTTAAGTGACTGACGAAAATGGGGAACTCCATGAAAATTCGGAAAGTCAGGAAAAAGTTACCTGCAGATCCCTGGCGAAACATTATATATACGTCCCTTATCTTCATCAAGAAATGAGCACGTGTAAAAATATGTGCACTTCATGAAGTGGCATTAACTTTTCTTTATTGTTTTTTGAAAACAATTTATTGCCTCAGTCGTAACCAATGGATTGTTTATATTATATCTTCCTATTGTGTTGTAACTATTTTTGAAGAACTAAAATAATGGTTTGAAAGCGACCTCGAGATTACCGATATAAATAGAATAATTTTCTGAGGTTTATTCTGCTGCATTTTGACTGCTCCAGATATGGTAAAATATCAGGGTTACAACATAGGGTGATCGAAAAATCCTGCACCAAGCCATTAACTTTGGAAACACTGAAATAGATTTGAAATTTCGAATAGGTTCGTAGGCCCATGGGAAACTACGTTTGGGACTTCTTAAAATTTGGGGACGCCACCTTCATGGGGACATGAGCTCTGATTATTTTCAAACGACTACCCCTTAATTTGTGATACACCATGAAAAAGGACATGAATATGGAGTGGAATTTTATTCCAGATCGTATTGTTGAAAGGAATTCTCAAAGCTCATGACTAGCCTTCTCCCCTCCCCCCGCCAAACCTTCGTAGATTGTTTGTTTTTGACAATCTTTTGATGGATGTTCATGGAAAAGAGTACAATCATAGGGGTCACTAAGTATCAATGCATAATCGTGTCCCGACAAAGATGGAATCCGCCAAACTGGGATTGACTATCATTTTAAAACGGTGGGAGGAGCTAAAGATTTGGACCAAAAGTCCGCATTTTTGGTTCTTTTTCATTATTCATCAAAAGTAGGAGGCTGCAATTTAAAAATGAAGGTAGGGTGCTCCTCTATGAGATATGCTCCTCGATGTTTGAGTCGTAAAGTAATTTCGATGTAGTATCTTTTACCTCAAGGGCAGTCCCCCAATTTCAAGTCTTTAACTCAACATATTCAAAATTCACAGGAATAGTGTGGGACGTTTTGATCATCCTGTATATTATGTAAAAAAAATTAGTGCATCTTGAAAGGTACCTAACTTTTCTTAATTTATATTCGACCAAAATCATTTGTACGTAAAATTATGTCTTTCAGTAGGTATATAACATAAAAAATGACGTGACCAGAACAAGGCGTGCTTCACTTTTTGAAAAATAATTGCCGCATTTTTTACAAATACGTATATTCGAGAAAATTCCAGAATACTTTTCAATCGCTCTGTATCACCAAAAAAAAACTTGAAATTTTTTAGGAGTTTAACCTTGGACTAGATAAATTTAAAACAAAGCGGGAAAGTTCTAATACTGTCGTATTAGAAAAGCGCTCAGGTGTTAGTAAATGTATTTAGTGAAGAAAGGAAGTATAAACTCCGTCGACTCGGCTGAGAAATGGAAATAAAACATCAGCTGATAGCAAACAAAGGTTACCAAGGAAACCGTAAACGCGTATTTTTGTTTCCCGAAAATGAGCTCACCGTTGAGCTCATCAGGCGCGTTTTTTTTAGGCTTCATTTGAGTTCTACGATCAATTTCGATAAGAATTACTCTACCGCTAAGGAATTTTCTTATGGACAAACGATCGAAACTACCTGCGCATTACGTTAAAAGCATAAAATACAGTTTTCACAGCTTTATTTATTTTAAAAATGGACCCCCCCCCCCAAAAAGCCTACACATCGATGAGCTGGTGCGCCATTTAAACGCATTAGCACTAGTATACTGTATACTAGTACTCAGAGGCAAGTCGAAATCAAAAAGCGCTGCCTATCGGCTGAGCGCTTAAAAGAATGTACAACTTTTTGAGTTTCAGTAAATATGTATCTATTGGTTTAATCTTAGAATTTTCTACCATTTATTAATTTTTTCAGGTTACGTCCCATGTTTTGTGGAGTGGTGGAAGATCAGAGGTCTCTAAGCAATCATATTACATTCAGTTATACCTAGGGCGGCTCGGTATTGAGTTTCTTGGAATACCGAACGAGCTTGTTAGAGTCCCTTTATACCCAGAGTTAAGACAACTCACTTTTGGTTGGGCCAGGGTTGGGCTGAAAATGGCCTAAAAAAATATCCAATTCTGATTGGTTCTCGCTCATGGAGGCCGAAAAGAGTGCCTCGAATGTGAACAAGAATAATGAAAATATTACCTAATTGTGGTTTTTCAAGAGTAAATTGTTATTTCCATCGGTCCAAAATGAAAATAGATTAAGAAATTATTCACAAACCAATCTCATTTTCTTTTTAACTGATCAATTTGTTGTTGTTTTTGTGTGACAGACATCGCAGGATTCCTGATCCTTATCCCTCAATATCGTTCGTTTTGGTGCACTCGTTTCGGCCTCCATGGCCAGCCAAGGCCGGCTGCCAGTCAGCTGATAATCGAGTTGTCTTAACTCTGGGTATAAAGGGACTCTAGAGCTTGTTTGGTTCTCTTAATTTAGTGGACAAAAGTATCTTCAAAAATTATGCCCAAAATTCACAATTTTAGAGAGATAATTCAGTATTACAATAATAAGAACAATTGCCTGTAAATAAATTTTATTAAAAATTAATATTTTGTTTCCACATACAATCGATGTATTATGTGTACCTAGAACCATTGAGTGCTATACCTTTTTCTAAGTAAACCATAAAAACATTTTTTCATAAAATTATTTCTAAATTTAGTCCGGTAATTTATAGCAAAATTCTCAGCAGATACATGAAACAGTTTTGAAAATTAAGAATTCTTATCAAAAATTATAATCCCACAATTTGAAGCATCAGAAAATGCTTTAAAAATAAGCGATAGGCACTAAGTTTTCCCCTTAGTATGCGCGAACCTCTCGAGGTACGACATCAACAAGGACATCATCTTTGTGCACGGTGAAGACGGTCCTCGCATGGAAGTCATAGGCGTCCATTTGTTTCATGTGTGAATGTGGTCTCACTTGGTACTTGTGCACTAGAGAGCCGACCAGAGCCGAAACCATCAGAAAACCAACGTTGTTACCTGTTCAAATTAGAGGAGGATTAATAATCACGTGTCCCAATAATGATAATATAACATTATACATAATATGCATTATAAAAAACAATCGTATACAGTATCGTGCACTAAAATTTCGGTAAGAGGTAGAGTCTGTTCTCTGTTTACATGTGTGCGGTGCATGGACTATTTTTAATAGTGGCTGGGAGTCCATCAAAGATCCATGAACGTACAAATCTGACGATGAATCAGAAAAATTGTGTTTTAGTGGTTAAATCCTCAAATATACTAGCCAATAAAAATTAATAAAGGCGTCCTTCCAAAAGTAGGTATACTAATTCTGTCGAATATTGGTAGAGAAATTTTTTTTCTTGGGGGGGGGGGATATGATGGCCGTGTTTTTTTTTTAATTGCTACCTACTTGGATTAGTTTTTACTGCTTAGTGATGACCAACTGTCGGTGGAAATAGAAAGGCAGACACATATTTTTTTCTTCTTTTTTTTTAACCGTGGTGAAATACCTGCTTTATCCGAAGGTTTATTCGTGTTAGTTCATACCCTGGGGTTTCTTTGACGTCATTTTATGAAATAATGCATAGATGCTGCAGTCAATGCAAATTAAATCCATCATCGATTGTTGAGATTAGTAAATGCATCCGTCTTACTGTTGCTGAGATTTCAGGGGCTGAGACCGCAACTGATTTGGCGCGGGCAATGACATCCGCTATGGCTTTTAATGTACAATATATCCGTTCTTTTACACGTAATGTAGAAACTTGGATGCAAAAAGATGTTAGCTGTTGATTTGTACTATTCAAACAGAACATGAATCTAAAGCGTAACTTGACCTTTTAATTATCTCAAAATGCATACAACATTGAAAATATTCGGTTAAGTATACTCCCTCAATTGATCTCATCGATACGTCGATTTTCCTCAAAGCAAACCTAAAATTCTGAGACCAGGTGGCAGCCTTTCAGAGACTGCAGGTGAGGTGACTCTGAACTCTTACCTGGACATTTTCGAGGTCCTTTGCCAAAGCCAAGGAAAGCATCGACCACGCGGTTGTCCCTGTTCCTCGGACTGAAGCGATCCGGGTCAAATACATTCGGGTTCTCGAAGTATGCAGGATCACGGTGGACGGAGTAAGGGCTGACTATAAAACGCTCGCCTTTTTTGAAAACATGGTCGGCTATCATAAAATCCTCTGTGCATACCCTCATCAGTACTGAGGTATTCGGGTACAAACGTGCAGTTTCTAGCATTGGACCAATATATATTATAAAATGTGAAAAAATTGCAATTTGATACAAATTGTCGTTTAAGATAGGTATACAGTAATTGTTCATTTCAACCAACTAGACTGATCTTGTTTGTTAAATTGGGGAGATTTTTAAATAAACAAATCTTCAAATATAATAAAATGATCCAACTCAAATTAAATTATACAGGTATGAAATAAAATAAGTTACCGGAGGGACAACAGCGTAAAATTCTTGAGAAGATCTTATTCACAAGATAAATTAAGGAAAAAAGTAAAATAAGTTAAGGAATGGGCCTCTGGACAAAGTATGAATTAAAGCACACAAATCACAACGCTATATGCGAGTTTTCTCTTCAATATTCCACAAGGATAACGAATCGCACATAGGTATAGGTCTGAAAACCAACTCTGGAACAATATATACGTGTTTTCAATCAGAAGGTATTGTTTAAATGACAAAAATACAAATGATATCATTTGTTTAATCGAACTTTCATTCGATCTGTGTTTAAGAGACTTGCTAATTTCTCGTCCAGGAGTTGATTCCAAAACTTCCCGTTGTGTGAATTGTTTTCTACGTGAGATTTTAGAGAGAAAACATGTGACGTTCTCTTCTAATTCCAACCTTGTCCAGTAGTCCATTACCTTGTGGAAAGCACGAGTACAAAAGGGCAAAATTATCTGAAACTAAACGTCTTGATAAATATTTTGTGCATTTCTAAGTTTGCGTAATTTATCAATAATGCAGGACTTGCAATAATCATAACGTTTTTGGACTTCACCCTGTAAATAACACAATAAAATACTATCTGTTCTTTAAAAAAAAAAAAAAAAAAAAAGTTTTTGGACTCACCGCGGAGACACTGGTCCAGGTATTGAAGATCCCGAACAACCTCGCAAGTGAATTCTGTGGCGTTGTGCTTTTTCATGACCTCTTCCACCTCTTGTCTTATTCGCTCTTGGTGCTCAGGGTGAAGAGACAGCATGTGCACGGTAGAACCCGCCAGGGTGACAATTGAGCCCATCCCTGGTAAAAAAAAAAAAAAAAAAAAAAAAAAAAAAAATCATGAAGGATTTTAGAGGTGTTAAAATGTATACTTGCTTAACAAATAATTAAAAATGATTAAATTAGACATTATCGTACCCTGTGGGAGACATGCAGTACGGGTCTTTCAGCATATTTTCTTAGCAAATCATCATCAGGAGGACAATCTGAGCACCCTCCTCCCAACTCAACCCATAAAGTACTCCTTATACGATCAAAGAGCGGTTTTAGAAATGAATAAATAGTCGGCATTAATTATTTCAACGAACTTATTGAGAGGAAGTCCTCATAGTCTATGGAATCGACCCTATATTACGTAACGCAATTTTTTCGGAATTTTTGACCCCCCCCCCTCCCCCCACCCTTTCGTAACACTTTTGTGACGCAGGTCCCTACCGTTTTTCACGTAAAAACAAAATGGCTTAACATTCCCCTCGGTCCCCTCCCCATTAGAGCGTTACGTAATTTAGGGATGGCCCCTAAAATCGTTATTCTCGTTTTGGAAATTGTTATCTTCATAGTACCTCGTCTAAAATTGCTGTTTCTAGTAATTATTGTAAAAAAAACTCTGTTCAAAAACTTGCCTCCGAGGATCAGCATAATTGATAAATGAAAAATAACTTAATCAGCCGAAATGCACATAAAAAAGTAACTCTTTAATTTGGGGAAAAGGCTGCAAAACAACAACAAAGGATAAACAAAACCCGGAACGTTTCAAAATAGTAACAATTTCATTTTCAACCGGAAAAAAAAATAAAAATAAAAACTTATTTTTAATAATTAAAAAATAGAGAAAAAATGTATTTTTACCTGGTATTCCTCCGGAAAGTATGGATAATGCAAGACCCATCATTTCATTCGTGACGTCCATCTCTGAAAAATTTGAAGTGCAGGTTTTTTATTATAGATTCCATAGTACATATGAATTGATTGACCATACTTTTTAAATTGAAAAGAAACGAGATTAAATAATATCTCCAAATAATTCCATTTTTTCTCTTGTGCAAAGTTATTTGAAAAGTAATTCTTTCTCAAGGAATGCAAAAATGAAATTTTATTCCAGTGTTAGTGGCTTTACCAAATGGAGCAGGAGCTGGAGACAATTGATTAGATAAATATCATAATTAAGCGTGAAAATTTTCGTAAGAAATAGAATAGTTCCATGGGTCATTTGTGTAATTAACTGCTCTAAGCTACGAAAGAAGCATGAAAAGTTCAAGCTCAAGGAGCAACACTGCTCTTTAAGAGAAGCTACCTACACGCTCACAATCAGTTAGATCAATATAGTCATTCAACAATAGGTATATGATCAGGGCCGAATTCACCTACTTGCCGCCCATCCATGGGCCGCCTATATTTTGCCGCCCCCTTCTCATTCGTTTTGAAACTCGATAAAAACCGTCAAATGCACGTGCCGGCGGCGGGAGAGGGGTGCACAAGACGCATTTACTCGTGTTGAACACATTTTTTGGGAAAGCCCTGTCAACACTACTAGCAAAAGTTCACGAAACTTTGCGCGAAAGTTAAGCTCCGTAAACCGATCTCTGCGTGGACAAGGCCTTCCATTCATAAGAAATGAACGGACAAATTATGAAAGAACAAACATAAATGTGGTTCAATGATGGTCAAATGTGGTCCGCCGCGCCGTCGGATGCAATACGTGAAGTATTCACGCAGTCTTGTAGGCGCTTTGCGTTTCACGCTGACCGCAAACCGCTGAATGTGTTTGGCGCAATGCGTGAAGTATTCATGCATTCTTGTAGGCGCTATCCGTTTCACGCTGACCGCAATGACCGCACTGTGTTTGATGCAATGCGTGAAGTATTCGTGCAGTCTTGTAGGCGCTAATATGTGTTACATGCCGATCGCCACGCGGAGGGCTTCTCCTTTTCATCTCAAGTCCTCGTTATCATTTCTCTCTAAGTCGCGCCGTTTTACGCCAAATTGCGTGTTTGGTCTCTCTCTGATCTCGACTTATTGCGGGTGCTGTCTCTTGTATCACTAAGAGACGACAAAATCAGAAATTACTATACTCTCAGGAAATGAGAGGTTTTGTCGCCTTTTCTCGTTTGTAATTTTGTTTTTATAAATCCGATTTTTTTTACCTACACTTTAAAAAATTGCAACTTTTTGCCGCCCCTTAGCTTTGCCGCCATGGGCCGCGGCCCATGTGGCCACCCCCTTAATCCGGCCCTGTATATAATATTAAAATATAATGATTATATATAATCATAACATAGAACTATATAATATAGAGGGACCATAATATTGCTTGAAAAATTGTACATTGAATAAAATGGGAAAATGAAAAATACTAGTACAATTTTTCATTGGACAAGAACCTCGGTAACTCAAAGTTTCGCAATTTTGGACCACGGTAAATGAAAGATTTGCACTCTGTGACCTCTTAGAATTAATTTCTTTGCTAGTTCTCAGAGTCAAAATCTAAAGATTTATCATTCGAATAAATAAAATCGAAACCTGAAATCACCGGTATAATCTCAAACCTTTAATGAACAGATTTTTTTTTCATTTCCTTTTCCGTCGGTTTGGTTTTGCAATATTTTAATGTTTTCATACCTGAATTTACTTTTTTGTCTTGGTCTTGATCGTTAAGCCCAATGAGGAGATCGATGAGGTCATTTTCATTGTTTCCGTCCAGACGTCTGCGGTACATTTGCTGCTGAAGTACACTCTTCAGCGAATCAATGAATGTCCGAGGAATGAACTTGAACGGCTCTAAGGCTGGAATTTCTTTGAGGCGCGTCTGAGCAAAGAAGCTCAGTAGTCTGCACCACCCCGGCTCAGAGAGATTTTCAGAAAGTGTGAAAAGTTCCTCTTTCTTTTCATACGAGTTAGTGTCCAGGTCGATAAAGCTGTTGAACATGCTATCGAAGGAGAAATTTAGAGCCACCTGAGAGACAAAGAGAGCCGAGGGTGATACACAGAAATGTGAGTCTGACAATAAGGTATTTGGGACATAACATAGGATGGACAATTTTAGAACTTTCATGCATTACTAAGATTTAGGCACGTAGAACTTTGGTTATTCGATCACTATTTTAGCTCAGCTCATTATTATCAACCGATTCCTAACAAACTAATTGATATGGGGAATCAAAAATAAAATTAAAAGAAGATAGAAGGTGGATGAACATTCTAAATCGTTGAAAAAATATTGCTTAGATAATTTATTGGGGCGTGTTGCGTACAGAGTGTCCAAGATGGCCAGACTTTTTTCGCTGCTACTTTAGGGCGGTCAAATATGAGAACCGCGGGGAGTCGACTCCAAGGAATTAAAATTTTATCATCCTCAGCCCCTCCTCCCCCTCAGTATAGAGGGCTAAAGAAGTGGTTCTGTCTATACAAATCGGGGTTCTCGTCACAATTTTGAAGTTATACCATTGGTCCAAAATTGGGCCCTCTTCGTCCGGAATATTGATCCCTGCGAAGTTGTGGGACAGAGTCCCCCTTGATAAAATTCTATTTAGGTAATGATAATTGACGTAGAGATCTGCAAAGAAAAATAGAGTTGATTTCTTTCTTCAATGGAGATTGGAGATGTTGCATATGTGAGGGATTTGCGATTTGACTGTTGATTCTTATGTAAAAGTTGGCGAGAAACACGATGGTGCCACTGGTTTTCTCTGAAATCAACTCCCAAGCTCAAAAAAAGCTCTCAAGTTGAGGCCAAAATGGAGGGGATATCCCACCCTACCCTGAGAGTCCACTTCTACATAAAGACAAACTCTCCATGCAAAGATAGGGAGCAAATACATTGACAGGACTGTCACTTTATTTGGGGACTCCAAAACTGAAAACACGGCAACCCTGCTAATGTATTTGCTCCCTATCTTTGCATGGAGAGTTTGTCTTGATGTAGAGGTGGACTCTCAGGGTAGGGTGGGATATCTCCTCCATTTTGGCCTCAACTTGAGAGCTTTTTTTGAGCTTGGGAGTTGATTTCAGAGAAAACCAGTGGCACCATCGTGTTTCTCGCAAACTTTTACATAAGAATCAACAGCCAAATCGCAAATCCCTCACACATGCAACATCTCCATTGATGCATACCTGCTTCATGTTGATTGGCCTTCCTTGGAGGTGGGCCTCCCCGACGTGGGTCCACATGCGGATGATCTGGGTCCTGATCTTGGCGAATCGCTCACCACTGAACCTTGCTGTAGCAAACATGGGTGAGAGCTTGTTTCGGTCGGATTTCCACACATTTTTGTCAGTACTCTGGGTCAGCGTGTGCTGAGCAATCTTGTCATTGTGCGATGCTGCCAATCCAGTTTCGAACGCTTTATCAAATTGTTTCGCATATATCTGGAAAAGAGGAAGTGATACCTCAATATTTGGTAGATACATATCTACATACATTTACAGTACTTGGGAAATATATAAAACCGCTTTAAAGGGAACTCCTTCTAGTTTTCATGACGTTTGGTTACTCAAATTCACTATCCCATCACATAGCCCACGCTGAGATGCCACTTTTTAAAAGTTTAAAAGTGCGATTCCTAGTTGGACGTATTACTATCAAACGGACCTAAGCGCCATAGGGTGAGGAAGGTAGAGGGGGGCTTGGATTGGCGGAGGAATCGGGCGTCCGGCTTATTCTGTCCTATACTCGCAATGCTTTCCCATGGCGCTTAGGTCCGTTTGACAAAACGCGCTATCCGGGATTCTAAATTCCTCAAAAGGAACTCAAATTGGCGCTTAGTTCCCTTTGATAGAAATACGTCCAGTTGTAACCCCAGGAGGGTTAGGTTACAGGTTCAGCAAAGAGATGCACGAATGAGTCCTGAGGAGGAATTTCTCACTTAAAGTTAGAAGGCTGCAGGAAGATTCCTATTGACCTGTGTGCCAGAACAACTCACCTGTTTGATGAGTGCCGGGCTCCGGACGAGGACGACAGGCATGGTGGCGATGAAGAAAGCGACGAGGTCCTTGTCCTTATTCTCCCGGTAGATGCGGTCGATGGGGACGACGGCGGAGTTGCTGCCCACGCTCCAGAAGTACTTGTGCCCGATCAAGAAGCTCGGCTCCAGAAAAGGGATCTTCGACTTGCGCCACTCCGCTAAGCGTCGCGAGTAGACCAGATAGTTCAGCGCCAAGCACAGGGATCCCGCCAATAGGGGCACGTAGAGAAGAGGTGATAGCGAGGACAGCGGCTCTAAGAAATCCATTGCGGGCTTTTTGACTCGCTGTGACAACACGGACATTGTGCAAATCAGTTGGTAAAAGGCTACATGTTCAGATTTATGGGCCATGCATGCTGAAACGACGCACTTTTCGCAAGAAGCCTCACCTACCACGCATAGCTGGGCCTCCCCTACACGGAGAAAGAAACTTCGTTCATGGGACCCGAAGTTGAGGTCATACCGGTCTCTGAAGTTTTCTGATAACGCATCCGAAAACTTGAGGTCGAGCTGCCGAGGTTCGGGTCAGACATCGAGGCACTTCGGTATGTACTGGAGTACTTCAGATGTCTGACCCAAACTTCGGCAGCTGAACCTCAAGTTCTTAGATACGTGGTCCGAAAACTTCAGAGTATGACCTCAACTTCGGGGCCCACGCATGAAGTTTTTTTCTCCGTGTAACTTATGCCATTCGGTCACGCTTTGCAAGATTTCCCATTTGTACGTAAATAATGGCACTACCCTTAGTATGTTGACTAAAATTTTGGATAAACTCAAAGAAATCGGCATTTTAATACCATTGCTAGTTTCGCATTACGGAGTACCAGACCCTTCATCCTCCCGTCACGTATATGTCACGCGGGACTGAAGGGCGACCCTCTTCCTGATCCTCGTATACTGAGTCGAATTAAGGTGGCGTATGAGGAACGGCTGCGCCAGGCGCCATCATAATACAACAAGGGTTCTGAACCAAGACGATAAGGATTTGTGTCAAAACCGGGAAGCTTTACAAGCTACTTGGAAACATATTCATCCCGCTAGATATTTTTGACTGAACCAATGAACCGTGTGTGATTCTGTTCGTAGATATTGTCTGCTTGAATCTTGCCTTCAATTTGCCAAATAGGTAACGAACATACCGAAGAGCACGAATAGTTGTCTACTCAGAGAACACAATTCCATGATTGAACCGAAAAAAGACATTTTAGGCATCGTTCACCTGAAGTTTGACTTCAGTTTTTCTACAAAGGCAGAAAATACAGCAATGATAACGAATAGTTATCCATTCAAAACACACACATAAATCTTGCTCTATGAATTTTTCTGAACCAATACATCATGCGTAAATCTCCTTTAGTTTCGCCTTCAATTCCTTTCCATAGGCAACAAACATGCCAGGGAGCGCGAATAATTTCGATTTGAAGAAAACACACCTTATCGTCAGTATATTTGATTGAATCGATAAACGACGTTGTTAAACTATTGGTTTGTTATTGTTCATCTGAAGTTCGCCTTCAATTTTGCTGCATATTGCATATTGCGAATTTCGTTTCAGTATGAGTCCGAGGACGAATATTAATTGATGTATCCAAAAGTGACGAATAAATTAAAAAGTATCTCACTGCTGTAAGGTGGCTCCTCATGCGCCAGTTCTCTGGTATCTCGCGCAGACTCTTGATAGTCTACTTTTTCTAAAAAGTGCACAAAAATCCGCTTGAAAATCAAAAGCTTACGGGAATATCAGATTAATTTCATGTTGAGGAGGCAAAAATTAATTTATTTGGGTAAAAGCACATAGCGTTTTGTTGAAAAAATCCCTTTAGTCATGTTAAGATATTGATGATCTAGTTGCATCATTTGAGGACTACGCAAGGAGGCGATATCTCAGTCAGTTATTTGCAGGCTTTAAACTTTTTTTGGACGCGAATCTTAACTCGTAGCAGTCGCTATATTTTTCCTACTTTTTAAAATCATAGGATAGAGTGTAAACCTTACGTACCGCCGTATAAGCATATATTCGCTGAAGAGCTTGAAGAATGAAGAAAATACGAAGTCAGAGAATGAAGAAGAGAGCTTTTTGTAGAAGTTCAGCCTGGATTTTCCGTGTAACACTGTGACTACTTTTTACTGTTTCCCAATCAATTTATAAGTAAACCAGTAATAATGGATGCATTGTTCGCATCCTCCTACGTTGTTTTTTTTCTCCCTTTTTTCCTTTTTTTTAAATTTTGAAAAATGAAAACAATGGCGCGGAAGTAACCTCGAAATCCAAGATGCAAGCTGACAAGGTCAGTGAAAAGAAATTATGTTCTTCCGCTAAAGACTATCCAACATCATCAAAAGTCTTGGTTGTATTTCAGTCCGGGTGGGAAGTTTGAAAAACAAATGCCTTTGACCATATTCAATTCTTAGTGGCTTGCTGCCCTCTGACTACACACGAGGACCAATGAGAATTGTAAGTGATAGAATCGGTATGCTGTTTGAAATGTTTTGCTAGTCTGAAACGGTGCCAACATATGTGCGTTATGTAAATTTTGGATGCTTAGCCAAGGGAAAGAGCATACCACAGTTTCTTTCACCTCGGCAAAAGAGGCCTTGAAGTAATATTCTAGCATACAGTCTTCAATTTTAAACTATCCGGAACAAAGAGACCTAAGAATATTGTTTGTTGAAGGTTACTCTGTTTGAATCCAGTGCACTCTTATGTAATAAAGATGACATTCGGAATTTAAGTATTTATCTGTAATGTGAGATAGAATATGTAAACTGATGCTGCCCGCACCTTTTGAATGGCGAGGTCGTGTCAATGAAATTGTTGATAGTCAGAATTTTCTCTGCTCCACGTAAGTTTTTCCGATAACAGGAAATTGTACAATTTCTTCTCTGTGAGAGAGGATCATTCCTTTTTGCAAGTTTTCATTGTTAAACTATGCAAATTTCGTTCCAAAAAGTGTTTTCAACCATTTGACCCTGTCAGCTCTAATGAGGCTGATTCGGTAAGATCAGAACAAGATACTCATTACCAAGAACTTAGGAGATGGCGTCACTGATTGATTTGTAAATGCACGTGCTTAAAATCCGTCTCATTAATACATATACATGAAATGCATGGGTCTGACGTCAGAGGTGGGATCTCCGATGAAAACTTTTATTGAACTTGTAACTTTACAAATCCGAATTTTACATTCCGCTTATCCACGATATGAAGATGAGGGTAGAGGAATCGAAGTTCTTCTAAGAGAGCTCGTTTCTGGAGTGAAAATTCAATGGTAAAGGTCATTTTTGTTTTAGAAACCAAGAATACGTTGATAAGAATAAATTAATCTGACATTTTTGAGAACTTCTCCAGTTTAGGTACTGATACCTAACAAAGTCTCAAAGTTTTAATCGGAAAATCTCTTTATTCTTTTGATTTCTCAAGATAAAAGTGGCTTTTCATTTTTCCATTCCTCGCCAGCTTTTCGGAAAATCCTATAATAATGTAACATTTTATGGCTGCTCAATCAGCTCTATTTTTGACCCCCATTAAACGCACTTTCTTTTTTCTTTAAAAAAAATGTATATTTTGCCAGAAATTGCAGGTGTTAGGAGGAAATCAAGGGCATTGGTTAATGTGTCAAAATTTTGGAGATCCTCCCTCAAGAAATCGTCCACGAGGATGGATAACCTTTTACAACTTCTTTCGCAGCTAAATTCACAACTCGAAGCACACAAAAAATTAAGAATCCCAAGGTCAAGTTGCATATAAATTTATTATTCCTAAATATAAGTGCACATATTATAATAATTTTATAGTTAATTATTTAAAGTTTCTGTCAGTTGGCGAGAACCTCACGGGGAACTACGTCAACCAGGACGTCGTCTTTGAGAACGATAGCGAAACTCAGAGGATGAAAATCGTAAGCGTCCATCTGCTTTGTGTGAGAGCGTGGTCTCATGTCGTATTTGTGCACCAGAGAGCCAATCAGGGTTGACGCCATCAGGAAACCAACCTTGTAACCTGTTCAAAAGGAGATGAGGATTATCGACCCGAAATATTGATAATATTTTAACTATTGTAATCAAATGGGACATAAATATATTGAGAGATGAGGGAAAAAACTGAGATGAAATATTTCGGGTTTGCTAACATATTTCAGAGAGGAACGCTCATGAATTTAGAGAGGGCACGCGATGGGAGCACAAAATGATGTGTGTTCGCAGCGTCACACATGAGTGCCTCATCTACGCGGTCTTGCTGAGGAAAGACGCCTTATGAACCTCCCGAATATGCCAAATTTCTTTTGATAAGATGCGAATTTTCAGAAAAACTTGAGAGTACTTTTTTCCAAGTTTTCAGAAGTAATAATTCGCAATTTCATCTAAAATGTCTAAAAATTTCAAGGAGGGGTATTCATAACTTCCTTCAAAAATTAATGTTTTATCAGGGGAGGTTTGCACATCCTTTTGACCTTGGCATGCCATGATAGTGCAAGACTCTACCATTAAAACGCAAAAAATTACGATTAGTGGACCCATCAATGATCTAAAGTCTTGAGAAATTGCCCATGCTATTAAATTATTTAATTTCTTTTAAATTAATTATTTTCTTCTAAGCTTCGCAGAGACTTTAAGCCTATGTGCGAGTATATAGAATGGTGGTTATAGATGATTTTAAGGCTTTACCAGGACATTTTCGGGGTCCTTTGCCGAAGCCAAGGAAAGCGTCGATCGATTTACTATCTCTGTTCTCCGGGCTGAAACGGTCCGGGTCAAAAGTATCCGGGTTCTCAAAGTATTCCGGATCGCGGTGGATGGAATAAGGATCGACAATTATCCGCTCGCCTTTCTTGAAAGTGTAATCAGTGCCGGGCAGCGTCAAGTTCTCGGTACAAACTCTCGTCAAGGCACAGACACTCGGGTACAAACGTGCAGTCTCTGGAATCACACAATTTTGAATTTAAAAGGAAAAGAATAAAGAAAGATAGAAAGTAGTAGATGTAGTAGTAGTAGTAGTAGTAGTAGTAATAGTAGTAGTAGTAGTAGTAGTAGTAGTAGTAGTAGTAGTAGTAGTAGTAGTAGTAGTAGTAGTAGTAGTAATATAATTGCATTTTAAAGCGGTGCTTTAGCATCTAAGGCCATTTACACCTCTAAAGAAGGCAGTAAAGGAAGAAAGAAAGAAAGAAAGTAGTAGTAGTAGTAATATAATTTTATTTAATGAATGAAAGAAAGAAAGAACGAAAGAAAGAAGAGAAAACAGTACTGCCGTGCTAAGGAAGAACTTCACATGAACATTCGAGAGTTGCCAAATTTCCTTCGCTAAAATATTTATTTTTGAGGAAAGCCATAAATATTTCTCGAAGAAATTTTCAAGAACTTTTGATGAGATTGCGAACAAAATTAGCTGAAAAATTGGAGGAAAAATATTTACAAACTTTCCCAAAAATTCGTGATTTACCAAAGGAAATTTGGCAACGCCTAAAGGTTCATACGGCGTTCTTCCTTAGTACGGCAATGTAGCACAGCAGTTTATGAAGAGATTCATATATTGGCCAAACCAGACCCTCCTGAGAAGACCTCCCATTCCCCCCCCCCCCCCCCCCCGCCTCCTATTGTCTTCTCCTAAGAAACAATTGAAGTTTTTACAGACAACTCTTTGAAGTTTAACGGGAAAACATTTTCGACAAACTTTATTGCACAATTGATTTCACGGAGCAAAACCTGAGGAGCATGCAGAGACTTGGTTACGTAAGGGCCGTATTTACTTTGCACTTACCTTGTAGACACTGGTCCAGGAAGTGAAGATCGCGAACAACCTCGTGAGTGAATTCTGTAGTGTTGTGCTTTTTCATGACCGCATCCACCTCTTGTCTAATTCGCTCCTGACATTCCGGGTGGAGGGACAGTAAGTGCATGGTAAAACTTGCTAAAGTGTCAACTGATACCGTGCCGTTAGCTCCTAACAGCAAGGAAAATCCTAAGCCAATCATCTCATTAGTGATGTCCATTTCTAAAATTTCAAACAAATTAAACACTTATTTCAGAAATGAATACTTTTAAGAAAAAAAAGGGGGGAAAATTGAAAAATATCTTCGCCTGCTCATTTTCTCAGTACTTCTCTAAATTAATGAGCACCATTACTGGTACCTGCATCAATGCAACATTACACATCTTACGCCATGAATAAAATAACAAAAGTAAAGTAACGCGTAATGCATACTTAACTACTGAAGCGCGAGGTGTCTTCTGAGATTGGACCAGGAAGCGGTCGGGGGTGCAATTTATAGTCATTTAAAAATCCAGTGGGTATGTTGCATACCACAAAAACAGTCAATGGAGACTACTTTGTTTAGGTGCAGTCGCACGCAAATTACTTGGAGCATATCAGGAATGTGTGAAATCCTGGAGTTTCCCGTAACGCGCAATTTGCGTGCTCCGTTTTGTGCATTTTTGCTGATTTATCTTGTTCGTGAACACGCCCCCCCCCCCAAATTTATTTTCAATTTCATTTTTAGTTTAAAATAGGATGGAAAGTACTGAATATCCACAAATTGCCGAATGAGAGACCTTCAAATTTCTAACAATGTGTGTAGGTCCTAACCTGGGTCCTCTATGGCTTTAAGGTATCTCTCAAATCTCCTCTCAGAGGTGCCTTAATCAATTTCGCCCAAGGTAAAAAAATATAACTCTGGTGCTGATCATGATGTGAGTAAAGGTGAACTAAGTGAGACCTCTCTAAGGACGTAAGGAATGACCATAAATACAACCCCTACACTGCCGTGCTAAGGAAGAACGTCGTATGAACCTTCGAGCGTTGCCAAATTTCCTTCGATAAAATGTTTATTTTTGAGGAGAATTATGAATATTTTACCTTGAAATTTTCAGAAGTTTTAGATCACATTAGAAACAAAATTATCCGAGAAATTGGTAAACAAATATTCAAACATTTTTCTGAAAATTAGCGGTTTTCCAGGGGAAATTTGGCAACGCCTGAAGGTTTATACGGCGTTTTTCTTTAGCACGGTAGTACAGCTTGATGACCCTTCATTTTATACGTCATTTTTGAGCTATGAAAGTTTGGCAGTACTTGAACGTTCTCATACCCGAATCGTTTTTTCTATCTTGTTCTTGTTCTTTGAGCCTGATAAGGAGGTCGACGAAGTCATTTTTATTGTCTCCGGCCTTGCCCCGCTGCACCAATTGCTTTCGAAGTAAATTTTTCATCGATTCGACGTGCTCCTGAGTGATGAACTCCATCGACTCCAAAGCTGGGATTCCTTGGAGATACATCCGAAGGAATACGCTCATTAGTTTTCTCCACCCCGGTTCAACAAAACTCTTAAGGAGCTTATGAAGTTCTCCTTCTGCTTCATATGAATTGGCGCCCAAATTGAAAAAACCGTTGGCAATGCTGTCCTGGACAAAGTTCATTGCCACCTGAAAAATAACGAGAGCAGAACGATGAGTGCATTTCTTCCTGAATGGGGAAAAAATATTACAATGACCAAAAAAACCTATACATGGATTTTTGTGAGATACGCCACTTAAAGTTAAAGTAAGGGAAATGTTTGAATACGATTATGCAAACCTCTTTGGTGTTAATGGGCTTTCCCTGAAGGCGAGTTTCCTCCACGTAGGCCCACATACAGGCGATCTGGTTGCTGATCTTGGCAAATCTCTTACCGCTGAAACTTGCCGTGGCGAACATGGGTGAGAGCGCGTTTTTGTCGGCTTTCCACACGCCTTTATCCGCGGATCGGTACAGCATATGCTGCTCGATCTCATCGTTCTTCGATGCCGCAGACCCAGTTTTGAATGCTCCGTCGAAATTTTTTGCGAATATCTGCAAAAAAAGAAAAGATTTTCTCAAATTTTTGGGAGCGAGCTTAAATCAAGTCGGCATGTATATAGCGCTATGTTAAAATTTGAAATGTCAGTAGCCCATCATCAATAACTTGAACTAAAACCGTTCGGTGTTCAATATGAATGGAGGTTACGTAACTTTTACAGAACTTCCTCTCAGTGAACCAACCTACTTGTCAAGAGTGATTCCAAGTTCATGCCTCGCGTAATCGCGCCTTCAATTTTGCAGATGCAACAGGGACATCCATCAAGCACGAATAGTTGTATCCTTGCGCCGTTGTCAACGCGCTCCTTTTCCTTGCTCTATTTCCATGGTGGGTTTGTCCCGTTTCTCTGACTTGTTGTGATAATTCAATGGCTTGCGATTGAGGAAACGTCTACTTTTGGGTACGTAAGTAATAAGACCAAGAAAGTAAAACCTTGGTTTGTTTCCCAAAAAAATTGCTAAACTTGTCTCCACCCAATACCCAGCAGGAGGACTACAAGGGATAAGTAGTAGGGATCTGGAAGCAGATGTCTCTATCAGACGTTAAGGCGGAGGTACATCAAAGGGGCCCTACTTGTTTACAGGAGCAAACAAAGTCATGATTCGCCTTCATTTGAAAGACTACACAAAATTATATCCTACGCTTTGAAAGGAGGATCGGGCTCTTTTGATACTTCGGCCATGGACACGATGATGTGTTTTTCCTCGTCACAGATATATTTTTCTAGAACTTCCAATGTAGTCGGACTTCTTCTGTTAAATCGTGTCTAACTGACCTGTTTGATGAGTGCCGGGCTTCGGACGAGGACGACAGGCATGGTGGCGATGAAGAAAGCGACGAGGTCCTTGTCCTTATTCTCCCGGTAGATGCGGTCGATGGGGACGACGGCGGAGTTGCTGCCCACGCTCCAGAAGTACTTGTGCCCGATCAAGAAGCTCGGCTCCAGAAAAGGGATCTTCGACTTGCGCCACTCCGCCACGCGCTGCGAGTACACCAGGTAGTTAAGCACCAAGCACAGGGATCCCACCAGCAGGGGCACGTAGAGTAAAGGTGTTAGCGAGGAGAGCGCCTCTAAGAAATCCATTATGAGAGTTTCCACCGGCTGAAACAATGCAGAAACTTCGAAATTCTGAAAAAATTACGTTTTCAAATTGTAGGGGTCGCTTATAAATGAAGCCACACTGAATGACCCCACTCTTCGACACATGTATACTCTTTGGTGAAGGATGAGCCCCTTCTTCCAAAAATTTAAACTCATTTTCCTGGAGCTTCCTATTTAGGTGAAAAGTAGTATATAACAAGTTCACCAAAAGTGTAAAAAAAAAGGAAAAAATAAGAATGATATTTTTATCCGATTATACATTACTAGCCGTTCTGGACGCGCTTTGCGCGTCCGTCACGGCCAGCCAAGGGGCTGCGCCCCCTGGACCCCCGATCACTCGCTACGCGAGCCATTTTTCTCAGTGATTGCACATTTGATCACTAAGATGTATACATTTTGGAGACTCTGGAGGCAAAAATGATTTCGTCACAGAACCTTGCCGGAGCGTGCCATCATTTGCACATGAATAGATGTGTGGGGATGAAGCGATGATGGGGATCGATCATTTCTTCAAAAAAGCATTTGACTGGGACGTCAACCCATCGGGTGGCGGAAATAGACAATCCATGGATCTCCTTCCGCGATTTGACTTGCTGGAGTAGCAAAAGTTCATCTTTACCTCTTAAGAAAATTATTGGTGACGTAGGGGTCTAAAAACTGCTCAACGGTAGTATAGTTCGAGTTCCGAATCGCAATGAGCCCACTCGTGTTTTTTTCTTATACTTTCATCGCATATAAATTTCTCTGATGTTTTTGATTTATTCTCTTTGATTGCATATTAGTAATCATATCCTCATTTCATTTCCTTTCCCTTCCTTTTTCCCTTTCTGTAGCATCTGTGTCCATTTACAATTATTATTTTTAAAATAGCTTTCCCCTAGTATATACAATTAATGCTTCAAACGGAATCGATTGTTTAATGACATTTCCAGCTAAATCATGGGTTTTCCCAGGAAGGCAGCCTCTAGTCCTTCCCGGACTCTATTATTGCCAGATAAGTTGCTTTTTTAGCACTTTTCCCGATTCAAATCGATGTAAAATATTCACATTAATCGCACAATCTGGCAACCTCTCGAGTGAAATAGAAAAAGGTAGAATCGCTGAAAGTCTGAATTCTTTGAAGTTTATATTAATGATTAATGATGGCACGAAATCTCAGAGCAAACACTCTCCTTCATGCATCTCGGTTATGTGGGACGCGGGGCCGAACTCCTTTCATCCTTTTAGTTTGGGAGGTAATACATTCTGAACGACTCTTTTCAGGGATAAACAATGGCGCAATTGAATACAGCAGTTTTGCAAATTCAGTATGGTAGCAAAATTTGAATTTTGATGCTAAAGTTATGTTTACCAAACATAGTTTACAAATAAGAGCATATGAGGCACAATAATATGTAGTTAGACTCACTTCGGTTGCCGCACATTTATTATTTGCTGAAATAAAGTTTAAAAATCAAAATTACAAAATTCCCTTCAAATTCAAGGTTTGATTCTACTGTAACATCTGTTCATTGTGATTTCATGTTGAAGAAAAAAAATTAAACTTTATCTGGCCAAAGTAAGACACATTATTTCTCTAGTTTCATAATTTTGAGATTACACGATCACATGATGCTGAAGTCAATTTTCTGCAGATTTAAATATTCTTTAGCCATGGATCTCAATGCAGAGCTGTCATTTTTGGTTTCTTTAATTTCGTTAAAATTAAGTGTAAATTACTTACCTCAGTACCTATACCCCCAGTGGCTGATAAAATGGAAGGATTTGAGGAAATAAGATGACATGCAATGAGGAAGATGCCGTTTGGTATGTGTTCAGCCTGGCCGTCGCGTAAATCACTGCAACATTTTGACAACTTTTAACTGTTTTTAAATCGACATGTCAGCGGCACACTCTTAATTTATTCATTGTTTGCAGCAATTGCAGCCTCCCATTGTACTTCCTCTTACTCTTCTCAAAAATTGAAACAATGGCTTACAAGCACCAATCGTTAAGAAACAAACGAAGGCCTAATAGAAATAGTCGCATAAAAGTTTGCGGTTCACGACTTTTTGTCCACAAGGTCAGATTATTTTTCAATTCAAAGCAAAAAAGTCCAAAATTTTTCCGCCAAAATGGGTCGAACTTCCCGCTTCTTCAACGATGTTAGAGAATTGAGGCGTCTAGTTCCAAAAGCGGCAACCTCCATTGCCCTCTTTCGAAAATTGTGCGATCATTATAATTTTAAAAGTGAAAGCACGTGGAAAACCTACATGTTTATGTTTCCACGTGAATTCAAGTAAAAATTAAGCGTTTTAAAAGCGTTAAAAAGTTTTCTGTAAGCGAAAAAATTTGGAAAATTTGGAAGACTTGGCAATACTCTTCTTAGATACTCCACTAAGGGCGCAATAAAATAAAATGCCAGAATCAAGTTAAATATGTGTTTATTTTTTAAATTTTAAAGATTATAATAAAACAAGATTATAAATAAACAAGTATTGAGGGAGTGATAATTTCTGCAAGTTGGCAAGCTGGATTTTATCCGACTGCAGGTGTCTGTCGCAGGGAAACAGCAATCCGCGGCAAACCGCAATCTTTTTGAGTCGAAAAAAAAAATGTAAACATTCATAAGTAACGGAACCGCATGTAGAAAATCCTGATTATTTGTTGGAATTCAAGCAGACATTTTTTTATCTTGAATGTATGATACCAGAAGGCCCATTTGCGAATGCGTATTTTGAAATCAGTGACCTAAGTTAAGTTCGATTGAAGAGGCAACCAACTGCCTGGCAAAGCGGAGAGTGTCGCCCAGATTTGAAGGCGCTCCAAGCCGAAATCGTGCTTCTGGAATTGTCGGCGATTGCTGACTGCCTGCGACATATCTACGATAACAGTCAAGTTTTTTAAAGAGAGCAGCTTCACGTACGATCATTGTTAATGATGGAATTTAACAGGAGGAATTTCTCTTTGACAACTTGCGAGACTTATCACTCTTTTGAGGTGTTATGAAAATGCTTCTTCTAAAAAAGACGCGGCAGTACGCCTCAGTACGCGGCAACCTCGCGAGGTATGACGTCAACCAGGATGTGGTCTTTGTGGACGATGGCGAAACTTCGAGGATGGAAATCGTAAGCGTTCATTTGCTTCGTGTGAGAACGTGGTCTCACTTCGTACTTGTGCACCAGAGAGCCAATCAGAGTCGACGCCATCAGGAAACCAATGTTGAAACCTATTAAAAATTAAAGCAGGTTACTAAACGAATCCATGTTTTAGTATTAGTAATACACACTAAGAAAAGTTCGGTCGTGTGATACGTTAGCTCGCTGTTCTACATCAGTCGCACTGTTTATTTACGTTTCAGCACTTTCAGTTCAAAGTACCGTATCTTGGGTTTGAAAAAAGAGAAAATTTGAAATGAGAAAAGTTTCGTTGTATGAGCTAAGGATGAGGTCTCTGGAACCAATAGTTTAAGTACTTACTGATTTTTTAACCGGGAGTGTGGTTACATGAACAGAATGGTACGATTGATGTAAGACACCGTGCTTACGGTTCATATGCTCGACCTTTCATGTGCTTGCTTGAAGGTAGGAGTTTAGGGTGCATCCACATTCAGAATTTTGAAAAAAGAACTACGTGGATTAGTCTTTACTGTAAATGGTTGTTCGGAAGGGGAGGAGGACGTATGATATTAGGAGATAATCTTGAGTTGGTGCGCTTTTAAGCCTATGTTGTGATGCATCATTGAACAACTCGTCCACGTTCTTACCTGGACATTTTCTGGGTCCTTTGCCGAAGCCAATGAAAGCATCGATTACTTTTCTGTCCCTATTTTTGGGGCTGAAGCGGTCCGGATCGAATTCATCCGGATTCTCGAAGTGTTCCGGATCGCGGTGAACGGAATAAGGGTCGATGATGATACGTTCGCCTTTCTTGAAAGTGTAATCGGTGCCAGGCACCGTAAAGTCCTCCGTGCAAATTCGCGTTATTGCTATGGTACTCGGGAACAAACGTACAGTTTCTGGAATTCCAAAACATTGAAATTAGAGGATAATATAGAGATAAAATTAAGGAATAGACTAATCATAAGTTTGAAAAAAAAATCACATTCAGTCGAAACAAAAATGAAAAGATTTCAATTTTTCTTTTCCCTTCAGACCTTAACTAGAAAGTGACTATTGATGCCAAATTCCGTTGCGACAATCCTTTTTGATTTTTTGCATTTTCATTTGAACATGTAGAATCATGTTGAAAACAAGGTTATTAGCTCAACCCCTGCTTCAAACTTTTTGTAAGACTTAATTTGTTTCGTAACATTAAGAAACATTAATCAAAGCAAGCAAAAGCGTCGTTTAAGAAACAACATTTGTTGATTTTTGGAATACAATTTTGATGGAACAACAATTTCGAATAACTTGCATTGCAAGATCGAAAATTTCCGCCCGTCAATACCCCAGAACAAGTGCAATCTCGGTGTGAAGGGACGTTCCTTTAGGTTCTTGACTCACCGTGTAGACACTGGTCGAGGAAGTGCAGATCACGAACAACCTCGTAGGTGAAATCTGTGGTGTTGTGACTTTTCATGACCTCCTCCACCTCTTGCCTTATTTGCTCCTGGTACTCGGGGTGGAGGGACAGCAAGTGCATGGTAAAACTCGCCAAAGTGTCCACAGACAGCCCTCCGTGACCTCCGAGCAGCAAGGTAAATCCTAGTCCAATCATTTCATTTGTGACGTCCGTCTCTAAAAAAGTTAAAAAATGGTTTTTGAAGTGGATTCGTCGTCTCTCACACGAAAGGACGTAACTTCATTTTAATGTTGCCAAATTTTCCGGTGCAAAATGCACTTTTACCGGGAGAATTTTGGGCATTTATAATTGAAAACACGGATTATTTTTCTGATCTCACTTAAATATCAGACAGATTTTCAACGAAAATTGCGCAGGTACATTCTTGTGAAAAATTGAATTGTTTGAGTCAATTTTACAACTTTGAAAGATAGTTACAGGGTCATTCCATTGTAACGGGTGTGACAACAATTTAACTTTAAACAAGAATTTGAACTCTTTCTTGGGGTTTAATTAAAAAATTGTCTGCAGTAGCAGAAAGAACTTTTTTTATAGATCATTTTAGTTTATCAGAAATTGTTTTTACTTTGTTCCATTCCTCAGGAAAAAATTAAAAGGCTGCGTAACGGGCGTGACCGATTTTGGAAGTGAGTTTTTCCTCAGTGAGTGTAAAGTGGAAACTCAGCGAATTTTATGAATTTAAAAATCTGATTAAATTATATGATGAAGCCAAGGGTTTTTGCTTCATCTGCCGATGATCCGTTTTCGATTATCTTTTTTTCTTTCCTTGAAAAATGGGAGAGTTTGCGTAACGGGTGTGACGTAACGGGTGTGACAGATTGTCTCTCTGAGGTCCACCATTTCTGAGAGAGTTTAAAAGTTAAAAAACTTACTTTTCTTCTCATGCTCTTATTGCAGGCAATCCTAAGCAGTAAATCAATCAGCAATTTGACGCATTTTAATGTAGAACATGCCAAAACTACATTTTTCTACAAGGTGGTCCAGACCTACCGTTTGCGTTACGGGTGTGACGTAACGGGTGTGACAGATTGTCTCTCTGAGGTCCATCATTTCTGAGAGAAATTAAAAGTTAAAAAACTTACTTTTCTTTTCATACTCTTATTGTAGGCAATCCTAAGCTGTAAATCAATCAGCAATTTGACGCATTTTAATGTAGAACATACCAAAACTACATTTTTCTACAGGGTGGCCCAGACCTACCGTCTCAGGGCTTTTCTTCGGGTAGCTCAGGATTCCCCTTTCGTCCCCGTGGTCCTGGACCTCGTATGATCCAAATTAACCCAAAAAAAATCCTGGTACGGTAGGTCTAGGCCTATAGTTAAGTGAAAATATTTCAATCCAATCGGAGAGAGTTCAACGAGTTCTATTTGAAGTCCTTTTGAGATAGGTGTATTCACTTTAAATACTGAAATATGGCAAAAAAGTTGGCTATCTCTCTCTTATTAGATGTATACATACCTCTAATTGTGCATATGAGTGTATTTCTTGTGATAACCATAGAAAAAATGGTGAGAAGTGAGGCAACATCTGCATAATTGAAGCCTCTTCTCATTGGTCACACCCGTAACGTTTCACACCCGTTACGCAGTTTTGCCTGTCAATTGTTGAAATAAAAATTTGAAAAAAATACTCCAAAGCTGTACTTGACTTGAAGACGTACGGAAAAATTAGCATCTCAAAATAACATGAATTAAAATAGTTACATTAAAAAACCCATGTTTTGCGTAACGGGTGTGACAGTCAGTACACTAAGTTTTAAAAGTTACGTATAATACACAGCAATTACTTTTAAAAATTGAAACTTTGCAGGAGCACATTGAATCAGTTTCTTGACAACTGCAAACATAAATTGAAACTTGGTTTTGGCGGGAACACCAGAAAATATTGCTACCAAACTGTCACTCTTTTTACAGTAGGATGAAGCTAACCAATGGGGTTACAAAACACGTGAAAATTGCGAGAAAAAAAACAAAACGGATGTAAACCCCATATATTTCCAAAAACTAGGAGTATTAAGGAGTCCAAAAATAAATATTGTTGGGTCATTTGGAGGGGGAAAAAAAAATACCCTCCGGACTACCTAGGCGTGGAATGACCCTACATTCCTTCAACCAGAAAAAACGACGTAGGTATATAGCCTCATGGGATGCACATACGGAATATTTGTATAGTTGAGATGTGGCAATGTCGCTTTTCCATAACTGCAGTTGGCCGCCATTGTGACGTCATTCTGTGTGCGTGTGCCACGGGCTCACCGTCGTCTATCTCCACACTCTGTTATTTTTATATTAATAAAATATCTTATATTTTATTCCGTCTCGTCTCTCGCTCGTTGCCCTCCGCAAAAGTATTTACCCACTACAAAAAATGCAGCCAATTATTTATATACAGGTAAAATTATGCAAACAAAAAAAAACTTACGTTGGACATATGAAAAGCGAATGGAGATGTTGCATGTGTGAGGAATTTGCGATTTGACTGTTGACTCCTACGTAAAAGTTGGCGCGAAACACGTTGGTGCCACTGGTTTTCTCTGAAATCAACTCCCAAGCTCAAAAAAAAGCTCTCAAGTTGAGGCCGAAATGGAGGGAATATCCCACGCTATCCCGAGAGTCCACGTCTACATCAAGATAAACTCTCCATGCGAAGATAGGGAGCAAATACATAAGCAGGGTTGCCGTGTTTTCAGTTTTAGAGTTCCCAATTAAAGTGGCAGCCCTGTCAATGTATTTGCTCCCTATCCTCGCATGGAGAGTTTGTCTTGATGTAGAGGTGGACTCTCAGGATAGCGTGGGATATTCCCTCCATTGCGGCCTCAACTTGAGAGCTTTTTTTGAGTTTGGAAGTTGATTTCAGAGAAAATCAGTGGCACCATCATGTTTCTCGCCAACTTTTACATAAAAATCAATAGTCAAATCGCAAATTCCTCACACATGCAACATCTCCATTATTGAAATTGATAGACAAAACGATGGATTAAAAAGACTAAAAGATAATGGAGCTATCCTCTTAGTTGAGACGGCTGTTTGCCACAGATTGTAAGGAAGAAAATGATGGACTAACTATAGGGTCCCTCGTGGGTTGCCGTGTGTTAGTCTATCATTTGCATACTTTGTCCACCGCAACTACCAGTTTTCACCAATAGGATCGCACCGTATTCCTTTTGTCTTCTTTTTCTACAGCTTCATATGGATTGCATTTAGCAAAAAGGAACCAGCGCGAATACAGTGTTGTAGAAATGCTGCTTTTTTAAAATTATCTCAAAAGTCTCCCAGAATAGCAAATAGTTTTTGCTTCCCACCATAAAATTATTAACTTTTAAGGAAAAAAGCTGGGCAAATAATGAATACTGGGCATATATAAATAGTATTTTTTAAAGAAAAGAAGAAGTTGCACGATTTTGAAAACACTGTTATAGCGCTGGCTCCTTTTTGCTAAATGCGATCCATATGTATGTATCACTTTCAATAATCAGCTCACTGCCAATTTGATTTGCACAGAGATGTACGGATACTGAAAGCCCCTAAATAAGCTAAAAATCTTGCAATACTTCATGAGTCTATTAGTCTGACACTTATAAACCTATGGTCCATCAAACGTTAAATAATTATACATTATGTGATGGTCCATTCCGGATCGCATAAAGCTTCAAAACTCGTTTTCTTACTTTCCATTCCAATTCCACAGTAACCTCAACATCTAGAAGATTTGTCATTGCAGACCTCAATACCTCGAAATTTCGGCAATTTTGAACCCAAGATCTCTCGATTTTTATTTTTTTCAACATCTTCGCACTTTACACGGAAAGAAATCTTTGGTGCTTATAGCTAGATAGTAGGTGACATTTACCATCTTGGATTCCCGGATTCGACCCCTGAGAACAATTTTGCTACGTGCACAAATGTATGATGGTTAGAAACCTCAAACCGCGATCAGGTAGGCGTTGACAACAAAGATGGTAATTCGCACCAACACTGCTGGGCGGGCGCGCCGTCCTCCGTAGACGTCCCGCACAACGTTGCTGAGATAGACCTTCAAAGATGGTAAACTGACCCATCCGGATGTTTGGTATATCAATCATGAAAGCAAGGAGAACCTAATATTTTGTGTTTTTAGCCATAAAGAGGAGTATTTTCTTGTGAAACGTACAGCTAAAAAAAAATTGAATACAAAGGTGTGCAATGTCGGGGTTCGCAGCTAGGGGATGGTGGAAAAGGGTTAATCGCGTAAATAAATTTCGAAATCGAGTAAAATGAGACTAACGTACATATTGTGAGGTGCTGTAGTCGTATCCGACCTATCAAATTTTTTTGCCTACCGCGGGGATTGAACATTGGGACTTATCTAACCCTAGCCGAAGACCCTAACGATTGAGCTATACAGTATGATGAGAATCTTGACCGAAAAACCTGTACATAGCTTCGATTTGAACGGAAAACCAGGATATTCAATCTACATACTTAGATTGGTTCATTCATTTTTCTAATTTTTGTATTTCATTTTATTTTTTAACGTTATTTCAGTTTTTTACTTTATTTTATTTCGTTACTTGATTTTAAATTTTTTACTTTATTTTTTTTATTTGCGTAATNCTTTATGTTTCCATTCACCACCAACTTACATTCGTCACAAAGTGCTTGTGGAAAGTTTCAGAACTTCGCGGTCGATCTGTAGTTTTGAAGGATTTTGCGGTTAAAGAATCCCACTTCAAATTCCGTCTTCGTCAGCCTTCGGGTACATAAGTTGGTAGTAATACGCTTTGTCAAAGAAGCGCCCTTCAACGCTTGGGCGTTGGAACTGCTTGTTTTTATTTGCGTAATATAATTTTTCTTTCATTATTTCTTTTTTATTTATTTACTCAATTTTAATTTTTTTCCCTTTGTTTCTTTACTTTTTAATGTTTTATTTTTTTGCTTTTTCTTTACTTAATATTATTTTTCTCTGATTATTTATTCTTTATTTCTTCCCTGCATTTTACCGATACTTACTTTATTTTATTTCTTGCAATTTTTAATTTTTGTACTTTAATTCAGTCACTTCATTTTAATTTTTATATTTCATTAAATATCTCTTCGTTGCTATTTATAACTGCATTTTATTTATCTATTTTTTCTTTTTTTCTTTTCATGTCGAGAATCAATTCAAAATTTTCAAACTAGGATTAATTTCATGATTGGCTAAAGAACTTCTAGCACTTCTAGCATTGGACAAATAAGCTCAGGCTACTTACTTGAACAAGTGAGATTATGTAGAATAGAGAATAAAAAAATTATCCCTCTAAAGTACTGAAGCCTTGACATAGTGTTAAATATAGTGCATGCCTAGCCCACTGGTAAACCTGGGATGTTTAGCAGCATACAATTGACAAGATACAATACAAGATACAATACAATTGACAAGAAACATTGTTAAAACATTAGTAACAATTGATAAATTTCTGCCATTTCCTTGGAATTTTGAATGTAGAAAAAAATTGATTTTGAAAACTATTATTAGTACCAGGGGCCTTTGGCCGCTACGCTGCCGTCAACCAATGCGGAAGAAAACAACATTCGTAAAAAGTCGTAGAACAACCATGTTCAAGTTATCTCGGAGATTAATGGATTCAAATACCGCCAATGTTTTATTTCTGATCAATGTTTTTAAAAGAATACGCACTGTTATTCTAATGAGTTTCCGCAAATTTTCCTGAGTGATTTAAAATAGATAAAAGAAAATTTGACTTAAAACGCATAATTTCCGAAATCTAAGCTCAGATTCGGCATCCTCGTGAAAAATCGATGCAATTTCATGTATCATATGTCACCATATCATGAAGGAAAGAGATTAAGGTAGGCGTGTGGATTCTAACATATCAGTCCGACGTGGCAACATGGGTGATTCGGAGTGGGTCAGCTGATGAGTAAGAAGAAGTTTGTTTTCTCGGAAACGGACGAACCAAATGCTTGACGCCGGCGTCTGGCGGCGTAGCTCAAACGTTTGAATTCTGTGCCTACTTCCGCATACCGGCCGGCTTTGATAGAATCTTTACGCCTACGATTACCCTCTTTTCTTTATGCTATGGTAACATATGATACATGAAATAGCATCGATTTTTCACGAGGAAGCCGAGTCTGAGCTTAGATTTTGGGTATGATGCGTTTCAAGTTGAATTTTCTAAATTTGAAAATTTAAGACGGCGGACGTAGCCTAAATTGATACATCGGCTCCCATTCCATCGATTAAATTCGAATTTTTAGTCTAATTTCAAAAATTCGAAAAACCAAGGTGGCGGGCGTGGCCTAAATCGCTATCTCGGTTCCTGCTCGTCGGATTTTCGTAAAACTTGGTGTCAAGGGGAGGGGGGAGGAAAGAAATTTTCAAACTTTGCAATCGATATGTCGCAGGCGAATAGTAAAATTAGGCATTTTGTCAAATGCCTAGGCAAATTATCAAATACTAGGGGGCTATGCCCCCTGACCGCTACGCGGTCCAACCCCCTGGAGGCGCTCCGCGCCATCAATGGGCCGCTTCGCAGCCCTATTTTCACCTCCTATCAGTGTTAGTTTTATTTTTCCCCTCAAAAATTACGATATGAGGTATACTTTACTTTTGGAATGAAATAATTTTTGGTTTTGATGAATATTTTAGTTCGTTTTAATCCGTTTTTTTTAAAATCAGTGAAAAATTTAACATCGTCCGAGTTTCTGAATTGTTGTAATAAATGCCCTTTAATTATCATTAAAACCGAGCAGAGTCAAGAATAATTAATTGCTCGAAGTCATATAGTTTTGCGGCGACTTTACCGTCGCCCGAGCCAGGGACGGGAAAAGGAGTACGCTCCACGAACATATTATTACACGCTTATCAGTCACACAAGGTGGGTTGAATATGAATTCTTGAAAATTTATCAACATACTTTCCCTAATCAGCCCATATCTGATTGCTTTCTTTGGTGACTCAATGTTGGTAAAGCGTAAAAAATTGACGGAGCAGACTACTAACAAAATACTTTAATTGAGTTATCTGAGATGGTGACCTTCATAATCAACAAGTTTATAATTTGCACTAACGCATTCTGTAGTTCAATGAGCCCACTTAACCGAGTAGCATCAACCAAAAACAAGTTAGGTGACGCGCAAGCGCACTCTTTGGTGCAATGAGTCAACTTGATGGAGCAGTTTACCATCAATTTTGTCTCGGTGAACAGATTTGTAATAGCTAGTAGCAACTAATTGAAAATGATTGATTTCCCTAAAGACGTTGTGGACAATACAATGCCGTTGGTTATTCTATCAATTTTTTCATGTATACGGCACCAACTTTTAATTAACAAAACCAAGATGGTTATCCGCGCACAGTCATTTTTTTCCGTGTAAGACCTCAAAAGTACCCGAACGGTCTCATACCTGAATCAGCTTTGTGGTCTTGGTCTTGTTCCTTGAGTCTGATGAGGAAGTCGATGAAGTCATTTTTATTTTCACCTGCAGCCTGACTTCTCTGCACCATTTGCTTCTGGATCAAACTTTTCAGCGATTCGATGTGGTTTTGAGTGATGAACTTCAACGGATTCAAAGCTGGGACTCCTTGGAACTGCATTAGAGAAAACGCGCTCAATAGTCTGCCCCACCCAGGCCTAATAATGCTCTCATTGAGCCTGCGAAATTCTCCTTCCTCCTCATACGAGTTGACCTCTAAGCCAAAAAAGCTACTGGCAGTGCCGTCTTGAATGAAGTTCTCTGCAATCTGGTAAAAAAGTTCAAAGAATTTAGCATATGAAATTCTATTACTATCTCAACAAATCTGATGTGATTTTTCGAGGTAAACCAAGTAAATTCAGAAATACTGACATTTGTTTAATTTGAAGATGCATATAATTGATGAAATAGCAAGGTACAGCGATTTTCTGACTAAAGTAATCGACACAAGGACCACAAAGACCTTCAGACACCGGGCGTCAAAGATTCCAAGGCTAGCACGTAAAACACACGGGCACAATTTTTGTGGATGGACAATGCTTTGACGCATGTTTCGCAGGCAATCAGCAATCGCCGGCAATTTGCAAGTGACACGGATGCTAACTGGTCAAATTGAAAGAATTCGCATTGAAATAGTAAAGGTTTCATTGGCAAAGAACTTCAAACCAACCTATTATATAGTTACCTATTCTAACCAACTCTAACTAGAATCACTACCTTCACTACGTGCACACGCGAGTGTTCTAGCTACTACTGCGCTTTTCAGAGCTCGAAACTGATGTGTCTTTACTTCGAAAATTATAAAGAGTAATCAAGGAAATATACATTGCATTTTGCCTGTGATTGCTAATTGCCTGCGACACATACCTGCTTGGTGTCAATGGGCTCCCCTTGGAGACGAGCCTCCTCAATATGGGCCCACATGCGGACGATCTGGCTCCTGATCTTGGCGAATCGCTCACCGCTCAACCTTGATTTGGCGAACATGGGTGAGAGTGCGCTTCGGTCGGTTTTCCAGACACTTTTATCCGTGGATTGAGTCAGTACATGCTGCAAGATCTTGTCGTTCTTCGATGCCGCAAAACCAGTTGTGAACGCCTCGTGGAAGTTTTTCACGAATATCTGAAAAAAGTAAAGTCATCTCTCAATTAATTGTGAGCGAGCCCAGATCCAAATGAAGGGCCAATTCCATATGAACCGCGTTGAACAGAAAGGAACCAAGCCGCATCAGCCATTGCCAAATTTAATTGAGCACTTTAATTTTTTACATGGAAACGGTTTTGCGGATTTTCGTGCAAATTTCAGTGGATTTTCTCCATAGTACGAAGCAAATTCTTTAAAATTTTCTAAAGGAGTCCACACAAATGTTCTCTCGTAAAAAATTAAATTGCCCAGTTAAATTTGGCAACACCTGCTTTGGCTTGGTTCCTTTCTGTTAAACACAGTCCATATAATACCGCGTCGTGCTGACATTCGGTATTTTAAAACCACCTACCCTCGATCCTCCTTATGTTCTGCAACCTGCTCTCCTTAAAAAGTGGACAGCATCTAGCAAATCAGTCACAGTATGTATATATGCCCTACACTGAGCCTTTTGAGAAGGGCCTAACCTCGAGTGCCTGCTTGCTGGGGAAGATTTTGGGAAAAATTCAGGCCAAGTTCATTTTCGCACTTGTTGGGTGGGTAAAGCTGCATTATATGTCGTCTCCGACATGGAAGAATAACACTTAAAGTGACTTAAACTTAAATCTACGTTTTTTTTTATTTTAATACTTCAAAAGAACGTGACCTTGATGTATGATTTGCCTTTCATGCGTTTTCAGCGCAAAAATATCCGTATTGGACACTCTTTTAGGAGTTTCAAAGCCTTAATTTAAATATATTTTTTGAAGTTTCTGTTTCTCGTGGATGCATCGATTTCCTTCTCCAGAACTCCCAATGTAGTCGGAATTTTTCTGTTAAAATGTGCTTGACTGACCTGTTTGATGAGTGCCGGGCTCCGGACGAGGACGACAGGCATGGTGGCGATGAAGAAAGCGACGAGGTCCTTGTCCTTATTCTCCCGGTAGATGCGGTCGATGGGGACGACGGCGGAGTTGCTGCCCACGCTCCAGAAGTACTTGTGCCCGATCAAGAAGCTCGGCTCCAGAAAAGGGATCTTCGACTTGCGCCACTCGGCCACGCGCCGCGAGTAGACCAGATAGTTAAGCGCCAAGCACAGAGAGCCCACCAATAGGGGCACGTACAGCAGAGGTGATAGCGAGGAGAGCGGCTCTAAAAAATCCATCTCCGGCTTGTTCGATGTTCACCTGTCGTAACAACGTGGAAACCTTGCGGATCAATGTTGAAAAATTGCACCCTTCCAAATTTTAGGACACGTACATTTACCACAAAAATTTGAAACTTCATTCTTAGAATAGAAAAATTACTCAATATTTACATTCCGTATATACGTGCAAAAATGAGAAAAAAAAAAAAAAAAAAAAAAAAAAAAAAAAAAAAAAAAAAAAAAACTGTACGGATATATTTTAATGCAAAAGAATACATCCAGCCCAAAACTTATACTTTTCTTTCACTGTACGATTTGAAATGCAAAAGTTTGAGAGGGGATGTGTGGGAAGCAGTGCTGGTCTTCAGATTCTTGTTTCGCCTTATCTTGAGATGGCCAAAACAGTCATCTAAAATTGTGTAGTAAAATTTTACGAGCGTTTTTGTTAAAAAAAGAAACAGAAAAAGAAAAAGGAAAAAAAAAATCCACCGTGAGGAGGTACAAATCATATACCTAATACTTGACCAGAAACACTAAAAGTTTCCTGACTTAACTGTTGAGTTACTTTGGGATTTAGCAAATAAGTGAAGCATCAATAGATTATTTTCTGAATGAAATCTATAGACATATAAGGTCTCAACCTACATTAGTCATTTTTTAGTACTTTTTAAATATATTTGCATTGGATTTGGACGTTACCTACCTCAGTACAGCTCAGCTTGGCTGACGAAATCGAAGGATGACCAAAAATTAGGAGGAAAGATTTGAGAAGGCTGGGTTTGGAAGAATTTCAGCCCAGCTTTTGCGTGAAACTTTTTATACACTCCTTATCTTTAGCGGAAAACGATGGCGAGTAGAATTTTATTCAATCTACAAATTGTTTCTAGCTACATCTTCATTGTTTCCGGACCAAAATTTTAACAATCATCGCACATTGTTTGTATCTTCTAATTGTACACGTCCTATTTTTAGAAGATTGAATCTCCCGAACAATGGGTCGGAAGCAACCTCGAAGTTTTAAAATCAGTTACAGGCTGTGCGTGATCAGGGCCGTGGTTAGAATTACAAGCAAAATGACAGAAGAAGGGCAAAATTTTAAAAGATGAGAAGTATACATATTCATAAAAAAACAGGGCCGAAATAAAGAAGGTAGAGAGCTGGCAAAATGTCATGATGGTGCAGTCCTCATGGAGTGGGAATAAAGAGCGAACCTACGCTTAATCGCGGTTTCGCAAAAAATATCTTTCCGTCGTGAAATTAGCTTTGAGGCACTGCGAATTTTTCAAGATTGTAGTTTTCGATAAAGAAACGATGAGCGTCCTTACGTAAGGAAATCAGAAGCTCTGAAACTTTTATTGAGTGCCAAAATATATAAAATCTTTTCATTGAAATTAATATAGCATATTTTAAGGAAAATAAACCTTAAAAAACTTATCTCAAATTTCAAAAATAAGAGACTCCTAAACGCGATACACCTATTCGTGCTAGATAAATGTCTATATTTCATGAGAAAAATTTAAGGCGCGATGGCGCGGCGTGAGTCGTGAGGCGTAAACTCGCAATACTCTGCTCTATGCTGCTAGTATGAGATTTGGGAGAAATGCCTAACAAAAAGGCCGGATAAGGTCTTCCTATCTTTGGATGTGTTGCTCACGTAGCCATAAAAAGCACCACTACAGATGAGACAAACAAAATCAACACAATATGGAAATAGAGCAAGGGACAGGATGCGCGTTGAAAACGGCGCAGAGATACAACTATTCGTGCTCGATGGATGTCCATGCTGCATCTCCAAAATTGAAGGCGCGCTGGCGCGACGCGTAAACTCGCGTTGCTCCGCCATATGCCGCTAATGAGGTATCTTTAGAAGGGGGTTTGATTGGTAATGACCTCTTTATGTACGATCTCAGCGTAGGACGCACCTTCATTTTTTTGTGGTACTCAATGCTTTTTCACGCAGTTAGTTTAGTTGCCTATTCTACCTAAATCCAAATGATGACACTCGTTTCGGTACTCGCTCACGCAAAATAAATGTGCCAGCTTCTCCCTTCGTTTTGCGTCGGAAAAGCGTCTACATCAACTCATCAACTGCAACAATGATATATGATTTTTCAGTGCTATAAATAATTTACTTAACCATTGTATTATGCATTTTTTTTTTTTTTTTTTTTTTTTTTTTTTTTTTTTTTTTTTTTTTTTTTACAGAAAATGCTTTCCTTCTGGAGCAGAATAATATTATTTTGTTTGAAATACCCAACAAAGGCAGAATTTCAATCTAAGTCAGAATACATATGTATGTGACAATTTACCTAGGCAATTGACACTACGTCCAAGTTAACTATCTGCCGTTCATAGGGACTTACAATTAATTGCCTTACGATATTGAAATAAGAATTAAAACGTTTTCTTCTCATGGGTTTTTTTTTATTTTTCATTTTATTTTGGCTCAACAAAAATTGAAGGGTTTGGAGGACGAGGCGCATAAGTGAATTTTTCGCTATTTTAAGAAAAACGCATTAAAAATTTCGTAATTACACGGATCCTTACAGCGGAAAGAAAGTTCCAACTGATTTTTTGATGCAAAGTAATTGGAATATGGGAGCGAATTTTTTACAGGATATGCGTACTAGTTTCACTTGAAATCATTAATATATCAAACTTTTCGAAAACTGCGCTTATGGGACTTGTCCTCCACGTCGCTCAATTATGTACTCAGAGAATGGACGACAGTTTTAAAACTGCGATGTCCTTTCGATATCAGCGCCTTTTTGTTTTTTACTCCGGTAGCTATTCTCGATCTCGTGGAGCTCCCTGCCGTGGGTCTCGGTCAGAACGAAAATTGAATAAAATCCGGTGATGAAAGAGGCCGCCGTCCACATGGCGTAGAAGCCCCAGACGCCCAGCGTCGTGACCAGGAAGACGTGGAGCTTGAGGAAGAGGAACATGCTCCCGGTGCCGACGAAGAATGCGGCCCCGCTCGTGGTACCGCGAACCTTCAGCGGAAAAACCTCACCACTCATCAACATCGGCAGAAAAAAGAACCCGGCGCCGCTCGCCATGACTGCCCCGATCAGGGCGCAGATCGGCAATAGGGGGTACGGACGTTCCAGCTCTGAAGTAAATTCGTACCTGGAAACCAGCGGACTCATTATTGAAATTGATAGACAAAGATATATGGGCAGTTTTTTTAATATAAAAAAGATTTCACAACAGCGTAATAGTGCAGTTTTAGAAATTATGAGAAATGATAGATGCTCCGCTGCCCTTGACAAGATATACAATAAAAAACAATTTAAAAGCGGGTAACAAGGCTAAAAGTTTACAAATAAAACCGAAACTTTTACCCTCAGTTGGATAAATAAAAAGAAAAATTGTAAAAAATCTAAAATAGTACCTGACTGTACCTCTCAAATAGAGAATGTGAATATTTTAGGAATTATGTTGTAGGTTCCAGTGAATGTGAAAGGAAGCAAACTGTGAGATTCTAAAGAAATACCTTCCGGTGAATTTTTTTTTTGTTCAGTTTTAGTCCATTATTTAAAAGGGTTTAAAATATTTCATTTTCTCTCATGTTTCCTCTCAGCCTTTTCTTTCTACATCTTCGTCTTTCGATATCTCTAATGCGTCTCCATTTGAAAAATAGGGAGTCCGAGCTATCTTACATATGGACTCCATTTTGCAATTAGGAATTACTAGTTCTTGCGCATCTATAAAAGCACCAATCTGCATGGGAAAACTAATAATACATATGTTGTTTCACGATAAGTAAAAATAGTAGTCCCCAATCGCAAAATGTAGTCCATATGTGTCTTTTTTAAGACTACCCTCGTACCCTCGGACTGCCTCGATCCTAACATCCATTACATTCAATAATTGAAGTACATTACGTAACAAAGAACTGCTATTTCTGGCTCATCCATAAAAGCACCCATCTGCATGAAGAAACTGATGGTACATACGATGTTTCTTACTTGAGCCAGGAACTGTACTTCCTAAATGCCAAATGGACTCCTATCATCCATCGGAAGCCCCTGGACTAGTTCCTAATTGCTAAATGGATTCCTATCATCGGAAGCCCCTGGTCATAAAGACCCGAAAAATCCAAAAATTGTTTGAAAGGTAGGTTATACATTTTTTCGTAAACAGCCAAGATAAAGAGCGAAACAGCCATAGAGAAAGTGGAGACTGCAGCGGCCATCTTGCGGCTGACTCTCGTGGTGAAGTAAACGCCGGCGGTGCTGGCCATGAGGGACCGGCCGACGGTCAGAAAGAGCGACACCTCGTAGGGGTCATACTGGGTGCCGAGATTGGTCACCAAGTCCACCGTGTAGTACAGCGTGTCCCATACTCCTGTGACCGCCTGTAGAAAGTGGAAGCAGGATATGATGAGAAACGGCTTCCAGACCGTTGGCTCCAGGAAAGTCCTCCATTCCACCTGTCAAACATCGTATCACCCCGTTTAGCCAAGAGTAAGTAGGATTATGTAGCATCGCGTCCAAGATATTGGACTCCATGCTCACCCTTGATATACGTGCCTCCTCATCTCGTCCAGGATCTTGGACTCCATGCTCATCGCTAAACTCCTCACTTCTTTGCTTGAGCATGGAGTCCAAAAGCAAGTAGACCTCCCTTGGTTTTAAAGTTCATTATTATAGAAAATCGCATGGACGCGATGCTACATTACCGTAAAGATTATGTAGCATCGTGTCCAAGATATTGGACTCCATGCTCACCCTTTGATATACGTGCCTCCTCATCTCGTCCAGGATCTTGGACTCCATGCTCATCGCTAAACTATTCTCACTTCTTTATGCTTGAGCATGGAGTCCAAAAGCAAGTAGACTTGAACGCTTCGGTTATTTGTATTCTCAGTGTGAAGAAAATTCTGTGAAAATGTCAAGCCATGATGTTGGTTTGGTCTCCTTTTTGGAAATAAAACAAGAGCGGGAATTTTGAAACGCCGCAACTGATGCACGCATATTTGCACACTGAGAAAAAACTATGGTTATAATTATCATATTAGCGGTGTTCAATATGCACTCTTAATTAGTAGTGGCCATAACCAATAATAATAATATTTTTACTGGAGCAATCGTAATTTTACAAGTGTGCGGTACGGTAGTAAAATTACCATTTAATGGTAAAAATATCTCTATTATCGGTTATGACAACTACTAATTAAGAGTTCATATTGAACACCACTGCTATGGTAATTATAACCATAATTTTTTCTCAGTGCAAAACGAACGAAATGAAAACGTGCAATGAAACGTGCAAACGAAAGAATTTTTTCTTAGAACGAAAAATGATTGGATATTCACAATCGCGTAAAGGCCCAAATAAAATTGTAATAGCAGGAATTACCCAACCAATCGCAGATGCAATGAAGTTAATTTCTAAGGAGATAAACATAAACTATAGTTCAAATCTTGGTATATATATATTAGCCCCAATACTTAATATTGTCTGCTCATTAGTCACTTTCATTGTGGATCAGCTGTCTTCAGCTTAGCATTAAATACAAGAATCAATTTTATACTGATCTTGTTTCATATTCAAAATGTGGTTAACTTGATTGGCGTGGACTCTACCCGTTTATATGGATGACCAAATTTTAGAATAAATTAATTTTGACTACCTGTTGTCGGGGCTCCCCCTTCCGCTCTAATATTCTGATTTCTTGTGCAATTTGGTCATCGCTACGTCCAAGTCGCTTAAAGGCGGCTATGGCCTCGTCGGTGTGCCCATTCTTGACGAGGTAAGGAGGAGACTCAGGGGTGAAGGACTCGTAGCCGAAGAGGAGGACACAAGCCAACGCGAAGACAGCCGATCCGAGGTTCCAGGGCAGGCTGAGGCCTACCACGTAGGCGAAGAGGGTGCCACCCCCGTAGAGAACGGAGTAGGTCAGGGACAACAACACGCTCCTCATCCGCGCCGTGCTCACCTCCGCGATGTACACGATCCCTGCAACCTCGAACCCTGCCGGACAAAAAAACATGGTGACCAGGAGGTACATGGCCGGATTCACCTACTTGCCGCCCATGGGCCGCCTGTATTTTGCCGCCCCCTTCTCATTTGTTTTGAAACTCGATAAAAACCATCAAATGAACGTGTCAGCGGGGGAGGGGTACATAAGACGCATTTATTCGTGTTGAACACATTTTCTGGGAAAGCCCTATCAACACTACTAGCAAAAGTTCATGGAACTTTGCGCGGAAGTTAAGTTCCGTAAACCTATCTCTGTGTGAACAATGCCTTCCATTCATAAGAAATGAACGAAAAAATTATGAAAGAACAAACATAAATGTGGATCGATGATTTTAACTTCCGCCGCCGCGCTGCGCAGACCGAACCGCGTTTGGCGCAATGCGTGAAGTATTCCGACAGTCTTGTAGGCGCTATGCGTTTCACGCCGACCGATGCTGAACGCACTGTGTTGGACGCAACGCGTGAAGTATTCACGCAGTCTTGTAGGCGCTATGCGTTTCAACTGAACGCACTGTGTTTGATGCCGTGCGTGAAGTATTCGTGCAGTCTTGTAGGAATGTAGGCGCTAATATGTGATACATGCCGATCGCAGCGCCGAGGGCTTCTCCTTTTCATCTCAAGTCCTCGTTATCATTTCTCTAAGTCACGCCGTTCCAGTCCGAATTGCGTGTTTGGTCTCTCTCTTAACTCGACTTACTGAAGGTGCTGTCTCTTATATCACTAAGAGACTACAAAATTGGAAATTACTATACTCTCAAAAAATGACAGATTTTGTCGCCTTTTCTCGTTTGTAATTTTTTCTTCTAAATTCGAATTTTCTATACCTACATTTAAAAAAATTTAAAAATTTGCCGCCCCCCTGTGGATTTGCCACCGTGGGCCGCGGCCCATGTGGCCACCCCCTTAATCCGGCCCTGAGGAGGTAAAGGTTAGATTTACGTCGAGTTGGAATAAAGTAGGTCTCTGTTATGGGGAATCAAAAAATGGTGACAAGTCTTGATGGGAGGGAGTTTTTACGACCCTTCAACGATTATCACCTATCCTAATTGTTACACTGAAAAAAAAGTAGTTAGCGTTGAGAACTAATTTGGTTGGTTCTCGCCAAGTAGAATCAAAATTAGGCTTCAGAACTAATTTATTGTACTGAAGCACCAATCAATTCGCTTCATACGCTGACTTGACTTTACTAGAGCGCGAACCGGAATTGGAAAACAGCACTAGCTGTAAAATTAGCGCTGTGGTAAGACAAATTCACCTTCGGGTCAAACTAATTCGCCCTCAACACTAACTGCCACATTGTCCGTTACATTTATTTAGTTTCGAAAAAGTGGCGTCGGTACAACAGCCTCAATCGCGTCAGCTCGTGAAAATAAATTAAAATGTGAAATTTCGGGCTCGTTTGACAATGTAAATACTCCCGGTATGATTTATAGTGTCCTCTCTTTCTTGAAAACGTTCGAAAGCAACATAAATAAACCTGTTAAGGTTAGAAATCGTCTGTTCAATTCAAAACGTAAACAAGCATGATATTCGTTGGAGTCGTCAATCTTCTATATTAAATTGCGATTAAAGCGTTCCGCGTTCAGTTTATATTTTTACGAAAATCTGTGAACTTACTGCTTAAGTACTTCTATAGTTCGTGTTCTCCCGTAATTTCAAAAGAATATCTCAAGTGTTCGGACGCCGACATCGGTTGGTCCAGTGGTTAGCGCAACTGATCACAGACCTAGATGTCCCGGGTTCGAATCCCGGCCACGGTGGCAAGATTTGATGGTCTCAGATCTTGTCACCGTGGAGTGGCATGGATGTTTCTCTTCGTTTCTTCCTTCGTACTTCTGTTTCTACTGTTGTTGTAATCTTCCCATCATTTAGCGGTGGCTGTTTGTCTACACGACTAAGGCCAATGAAATATACCTAGAGTGCGCAAGCTCTCAAAAAACAAAACAAAAAAAAAAAAAAAAAAAAAAAAAAAAAAAAAAAAAAAAGTGTTCGGACGAGATATGTTTATTCAGTGTGAACATTCGCTACCGTTTCATGTATGAGTGTGTGTCTCTCTAAAGGATAATTCTGTCTACTAGCACATACCTATGGGATATTCCTTTCCTCTGTCGTTCATTTGGAACCGGTCAGTTGATTTTAACCTCTCATCTTTTAAGAAATCTTCTTTTCCTGAAAGTATTGTCCAGTTATCATTCGCTAAGCCGTTTTCTCCTCTCTCAGTTTTGAGGTTAGGTTGACCCAACCCTACCGAATGCGAATTAGAGTAGCGGAATTAGTTTCCAGCACTAATAGTGGTTAGTGTACAGAAACCAAAAATCATGTGTGTCCAAATCACACAATTTGAGTTAGTGTATAGAAACCATTTTTAGTCATCTGACGCTAACTCATTTTTTTCAGTGTACCTTGCTATATTTCGTTGTGTTCCAGCCTTCAGCCTGCGTCACACAATCAGACTAAGCTATCAATCTGGCGAGGTCAGCGAGATTAGGGTTTTGATTGGTTCTGCAAATACCTATCAGAGATATCTCTGTCATCGTGTGATATAGAACGCGCCGATCTCTGATTGGTGCGTGAAAATCTACCGCGCAGTGACTTTGCTAGTTTAATTACCTCAGTTTGATCATGTAACCCAGGCTAACGTATTACGAGCACCATTTGAGCTTGGGCACTTTGAATTTCTCAAGCTTGTCAAATTTTTACGGAGAAAATAGTGGAATGAATCACTTGAAATCTTTATCCAATATTTCTTTCGTTATCAAAAGTAATTCCTAAAATTTTGATGAGTCTTAAAGTTTCATTGCGTCAAGGGCAAAAGGCGTCAAGGGCGTTTCATGGGCAGCAAAAGCCGGAAGTTGATATTGTTGACCTCAGTCGCGTTTCTTAATAAATTGAATATTCTAAGGTTCAATTTTGAATTTCCTTCTCCTAGATTCAGTCAGATTCCAAGAATGCTGACTATTGCTGACCCCTTTTATTAGTAACGGATTTACTAGTTTAATTCTTACCGATTCCCAAAGATAGAATCAGACGCCCGACGTAAATTTCGTAGACGGAGCTGGCGGCTCCTATGAGAGCATAGCCCAAGGCACAGACGATGAAATAGCACTGCACAACGATTTTCCGGCCAAAGTAGTCGACACAAGGACCACAAAGAACACCAGATACCGGGGCGCCAACGATTCCAAGACTAGCTGCAAAACACAAGGGTACAATTTTTGTGGATTAAAGATGTTTTGACGCATGTCGACGGTGTAAGTCGGCAATCTCATAACTCGGTTTGCGACGTCGCAGACTTCCTGTCATACGTTATTTTTTAAACGACAAACTACTCGACGGCAATTCTTTAAAAATTCCGTGATTTTTCTTCTCTGTGCGGAGAAAATCCTGCATAAACTTCAAGTAATGATGTCAATTTGCTCTCTTTTAAAAAAATAGCATAGAGGCGGAGATTTTCAGACACCGCAAATGAGATATGTGATTGCCGACTTACACCGTCGATGTGTCGCTCGCAATTTGATTTCCCGTGATACTCTCCGCTTTGCCATACAGTTTGTTTAGTTGCCGATCCAAACCAAACCTGAGTATAAGGTCACTGGTTTAAAACGCATACGCGCGAGTGTGCTAGCTGGAACCACGTGTTCAAGAAGAGAAAAAAAAAAATCTGTCTGAATTCGAAGCATATTAAAAGTACATCCTATCTTGTTTCTTCACTTCTGAAATTTCACATTTCATTCCATTTATAACACAAGTCGATTGCAATTTGCTGGGTATTGCCTACGACACACGATCAGGGCCGGATTCATCTACTTGCCGCCCATGGGCCGCCCGTATTTTCCCGTCCCCTTCTCATTCGTTTTGAAACTCGATAAAAACCATCAAGTGAATGTGCCAGCGGGAGAGGGGTGCATAAGACGCATTTACTCGTGTTGAACACATTTTTTGGGAAAACCCTGTCAACACTACTAGCGAAAGTTCACGGAACTTTGCGCGAAAGTTAAGTTTCGTAAACCTATCTCTGTGTGGATAAGGCCCTCCATGTTTGGCGCAAAGCGTGAAGAATTCAGATAGTCTTGTAGGCGTTATGCGTTTCACGCCGACCGCTGCTGATCGTACTGTGTTGGACGCAATGCGTGAAGTATTCACGCAGTCTTGTAGGCACTGTGCGTTTCACGCTGACCGCACTGTGTTTGGCGCAATGCGTGAAGTATTCATGCATTCTTGTAGGCGCTATCCGTTTCATGCTGACCGCAATGACCGCACTGTGTTTGATGCAATGCGAGAAGTATTCGTGCAGTCTTGTATAGGCGCTAATATAAGTTATATGCAGATCGCCGCGCCGAGGGCTTCTCCTTGTCATCTCAAGTCCTCGTTATCATTTCTCTCTAAGTCGCGCCGTTCCAGGCCAAATTGCGTGTTTGGTTTCTCTCTTAGCTCGACTAATTGAAGGTACTGTCTCTTGTATCACTAAGAGACGACAATATTAGAAATTACTATACTCTCAGTAAATGAGAGATTTTTTCGCCTTTTCTCGTTTGTAATTTTCTTTTCATAAATCTGATTTTTTTTTACCTAAGCTTAAAAAAATTGCAAATTTTTGCCGCCCCTTAGATTTGCCGCCATGGGCCGCGGCCCATGTGGCCATCCCCTTAATGAGCTGAGTTTGCGGTATTTCCCATGACTTCTTCTTGACTAGAAGGCTACGTCCCTTCACCTCCTCACGTTCTGATCCATGTCTTAGACGTTATATGTTACTCTTAGCGTTTTTATAAGACAATAAATGAATAGTATTGGATACGACACGGGAAATTGTAAACAAATAATTGTAAAAATGAGGAAATGTGTCTCCCTTGAAAACCACAAAAATAAGGGTGGGGGAAAACTTGTGGAAACTGACCTATCCATGTCATCTGGTCGGGGTTAATATGTATGGGGCTGTCGGGTTCCTGGAGGCGTGGCAAGAGAACTGCAGTATGAGACTCGGCCACTCCGTTGAAGAAAAATATCATCATGGCTCCTCCACACGCCCAAAACTGCAAATTAAAATGATCGGCTCCATTTTACAAGATTTACATAGAGAGAGTCAGAAATTCCGGGTTCTAAGTTTTTAAGCGAGTATATTCTCCAGATCCATGATGAAACTGCAGAGGTGCACTTCTCGATTTTTGATGGTTTTGAGTTGGCTGCATATAATGATGAGTCAGTTGCGCTGGCCACAGAATCGTGTTTTGATGCTTGATTCTTGTAGATTAGCTAAAAATTATAAGATCTGTCCAACCAGAGACTTTCTACGTTGAATATGAACCGTGATATCGCACCTTGAAAAACTTGATTTATGACGTCATCCACCGCGGTAGTACTTACCATGTTATGCACAACTGCGGTGGATGACGTCAAAAACCTGACTTTTCAAAGGGCGATATCTCGGTTAATATTCAACGTAGAAAGTTGCTGTTTGTACAGATCTTATTATTTTTAGCTAATCTACAAGAATAATGCACCAAATCACGATTCTGTGATCAGCGCAACTGGCCCATTGACCGGCAGGAGATGTCTTTCGTTTGCCGTCAAATATTTTATTCGAAAAAATCAGTAGGTTACCCAAAAATGTAATGCAATTGCCGCGTATTTCGTCGCTGATTCCTAAAACTTGTAGCTCGTGCAGGCATATATGTGACTCTATTGACAGCATAGACAATCAGTGTTCATAGAGTGATTAGACGCAATGTCGACTTATCTATATAGTTGGCTCTATCGCCGCTATTGCAGTACTACTGTTGCACATTTAAGTACTATCCTCTGGACTCTTTGTCCGGTCTTGATTCGACTGAGTTAGGCAAAAAACCGACTGAGAGCGTTATTGAATGACCTGATGGGTCGATTATTAACAGTGCTAATATCGGGGTTAATTGATCAAGGACGATTCAACAATCTACATGCTGGATAAATAACCAGATTCATCTCAACCTGGTTAAATATCGAAACACCTTGCTATGAAAACATCACCTACAAATGGAGTATCTATATCTATGCTGAAGTAAAGAAGAAACAGAATCAGAAGAAACTACGCACATGGGATTTGCCTATATCTGGGTTTGTTTTCATTAGATTCATTTGCACATACTTTTAGGTACTTTTACAGAAAATAATCCAAATACTGTACAAATTCACTCGTCACGATGACAGAATGTTTTGAAATTGTAAGCATTAAAAATGTCAAAGTTACCGGTTTTTATTTTTTCCTAAAAAAAAAGATTTACCATGCCGTAGTAGGTGATAAACTTTCGAGATAGTGGAGTAAAAAGAAAAATACGAACGAAAAAAAGAAAATGAGATAATTACCATTCTACCCCATTTTTCTGATGGTGTCTGCTTTGGCTCCTGCTCTGTCGCGAACTCCATTTTTTATCGGCGAAGTTGCTGTTCTGAATTCACTTTATAGTTTTTATCTTAAGATGTCACAATTTAATGTTAAAATTTACCTATATCAGCATTTTTGAATCACATGGAAGGGGAAAATGATAGGCACTGATTTCCAGGCAGTATTGTAGCTCCGAGAAACCAATTAGTCAGTTCTCAATGCCTTTCAGAGTGGCGGAAATCGAACGCATAGCCAATATTACTGGCAGGCATCTGATACCGGCTGTCAGGTTTATTAGAGCTCAATGGATAGTAGACTAGACAAGGTGAAAAATGATTAAGCACTACAGCACATTTTAATTATCAAAATATCGGGCAGCTTACATATTAAAAACATTCAAAATCAACTCGTTTGTGAAAAAAAATTCAAACTGATCGCCGGCGAAATTATGCATTGATTGAAATACGCGAGGTAAATAACTAGATTTTGGTTTCACAACAGAGGCGTGGCGTGCTTTGCGATACTTCCATTGATCTGCCTTTTAAACCTATGGAAAAGGATCGATAAACAAGGTGATCGCAACGAACGCCTTAATAATCGATTCTGTTCCACAGCTACAAATGGGGAAGTATCAATGATCGATCATTCACGCCTCGCCACCGTTTCACACACATTTTCATTCTCCGCCTCTGGTACAATAGATACCTTTAATCTCATCAAAATATGTACTGTCAATTATCGAAGGAAGAAAAGCAATTATTTCACACATATGAGTTGAATTTGGAAATTCTCAATTCTTCGATCGTATTCTACGTAAAATTTCAATGAATAGGGAAACTGATAGTTTGGTGTTTAATTACGTACTCCACATGTCTTGTCCATTGGACTACAATTTCAATGAGGAGCCACTGTTTCTGACTCATGGATAATAGGATTTTCTTGGATAGCGAAATTAGTGAGACGTACCTACCCTGTTTTTCTAAAATAAGCCAGAAATATAGTTATCCTAAATGAGAAATGTAATTCAAACATAACCACCCGAGAATAGTATGTTCCAACCGCGATTTTTGCTAGTTTTTGAATATGTCAAGTAATCGTCATTTTATTTTCAGAACTGCTCTCAAGTTTCATCATAATGTCTCACTAAATGTAATGCACGTGCAGTATTTGACTTTGACATCTGTGAATAAATGAAATGACAGTGGCACAGCACAACCTCACTCACGGTAAAATAGAGGAGAATATAAAGCAACTGCATGTGCTATTTTTGGTTGCAACTTGCGAGGCCAAGACATTGTGAATTACTCTGAGGTAACGGTGTCATTGAAGATACCACCACGCTACTCAGGGTTCGAAACACAATTTCATTGTTGAAATTTTAAAGCGTTGTTCGATTCACAGAATGATACTTATATAAGGCCATTAGAAGGCGAGGTAACTTTCTAATTATAAATTCACTGTGATGAAGGTCATTTTTAATTTCCGAATCTCTGGACGGATGCGCAATGCTTCGCTAGTGTACATGTAGACCACACAATCTTCTCACTTGCATATCAGATCTGGTCACACGTGTCACTAGGATTGTATAGGAGGAGAAGCCTCAGAAATCTTCTGCAAAAATCTCTTTGAAATATTTTGAAGCTCAAGAAAATATTTCTATAATAAATCACTCTGAAAAATTCAAATACAGTAAGATACACATTTCTCCCACCGATGGAATTTTTGAATTTTATTGGAGGAGTTATAACAATTTTCCAATACGAACATACGACTTCTCGAAATTGACGCCAAATGATTTTACGTACTTTTACAGTAGGGCAAGGGATCGGGTGTCTTTAGATAAGCACTAAAATTAAAGAAAAACAAGCGGAAAAGCTTAAAGACATATTCGTATTAAAGAGCACTCAGCTGTTCTCTATATAAAGGCGTTGAAGCAGAAGAGCACCGTTGAAATGAAAAAGCTCGCTCGTCAAAATTTCAACTATCACTTTTGAGAAAGCTACACTACTGCTAAAAAAATTAATTACAGAAAATTGATCATCATTTTCCGTGCTCTGAAATCAGAGGCATTAAAGTAAGGTATCACAGATGAATCTATTCTAAATGTGGTAGGCCCCTCTCCGTCATTTTGTTGTTGAACTGGTGCGCCACTTGAACGCATTGCCACTAATATACAGGTATTCTAGAGGCAGGTTAAAATAAAAAAGCGCTCCGTAAAATCCGTAGCGCTTAAAATCAATATGGCGCACAGTGGATGCAAATTTTGATGTTAGTTTCGTCATATTTTAAATTATAAGGTGTGTTTCTGAAAGAAAATTTTACAAGGAAACCAATAGAACCACTTTTAAGACCTCAAAGTTATGTATGAAAGGAGTAAAGCTTTTAAAGTTTCCAAAATTTTGTCCGACCTCTCCTATTGACTCGATCCACTCTGCGGCGGTTCTTCCGTTGTTGCACCCTCCGGTGAAATCAGCGTCCACGGATATCATGACACGTTTTTCTTCATTTTTTTCAGACGCGGCAGCTATTGTAGCATTTATTAATTCTTCGTTTCTCGTCACTTCAAAATTTCGTCCTCTCGATATCGGTAGACCGGTGCTTTTTACTCCTGTAGCTATCCTCGATTTCATGGAGCTCCTTGCCGTGGGTCTCGGTAAGTACGAAAACGGCGAAGAATCCGGCGACGAAACATGCCGTCGTCCACATGGTGTAGATCCCCGGGACCCCGAGGGTCGTCACCAGGAAGACGTGGAGCTTGAGGAAGAGGAACATGCTCCCGGTGCCGACGAAGAACACGGCCCCGCTCATGGTACCGCGAACTCTCAGCGGGAACACCTCACCACTCATCAACATCGGCAGGAAGAACATGCCGGCCCCACTTGCCATGACCGCACCGACCAGACCCACGATCGGTACCAGGGGGTAAGGACGCTCCCATTTGGCAGTCAACTCGTACCTGGAAACATTCAAAATACAGGTCAGTGGGTCTAATCGTAAATGGGAGTAGAGGGATACGAATTCGCCCTTCTCTGGAATCTAATGTTATTGAGTGGCTATCGTACACGGATCCAGAGACCCCAAAAGAGGGGCGCTAAGGGGGTCCGCCCCAAAAAAGTTTTAAACCATCTAATAAGCGAATTACCAAACGTTAGCGTCTTTCCTTCTGCTCTCCCATGTTCCTTCCTTTTTTTCTCTCTTCTTTTTTTCGTCCTTCTTTTTTCCGACGAACGGGGGGGGGAGGGGTCTCACGCCCCTCTCCCCCTCCACGCCCCCTTCCCCTGGATCCGCCTATGGTGGCTATCTCCTCCGCCGCGGGGGTGAGGGCAGACCCCCAGAATTGGATCTATTACACATAAAAGATACAGGTAATGTGAATTTCCAGACGAAGGAACGTAACGCCATTCCATTAATCTGTAAGTGGACATCAAAAACTTCAACATTTTGTAATGTATGCCTGTGCTGCAATTTCTGTCCAAGATGTTGGGAGTTTTTCCGTACAATCAGATGAAAAATCAGGGAAGTCAGTTGGAAATGACCGATGGTTTCTCGGTTAAAATAAAATTTAAACGTGAAAATTTTGCAGCGTTAAGATGTTGCTACATTTTCCGTTCGGGAAAATACGGTAGACGACCACTCCAAAATGACTTTTGGGTTCAAGGGAGAAAATAATTGGAGGACCTGGCGTGGAGGGTAGGGTGGAGCCAAACCTGACGTCAGGGCTCCATTAACAACGGAAGATGCCTGAATAGTTACAGAGAGAGGAACTAGTAAAATTTCACTATTTTCTGTTGCTCAAAATTGTCACTCGATCTCCTATCCCTCATATCCTCTGAAAAATGCATCAGTCATAGAATCATAAAAACTCCCACGAGAAAAGCATGATTTCCAGGATCCGTTACAAAACAACGTCAAACGATAATAGAAACAAAATAAATTGAGCTTGCTCGGAGGTTGAAAGTGTGGACGTCAGACACACGTTTGGCCGCACTGCTGTCGTTCAACTCGCTGTACTTCGCAGACAACCCCATTTTTTACATCACTTGACTTTTAGTGACTCATACCTTTATTTGCGCAAGCTGGGTGCCATGCGGCAAAAGGTTAATGTGATTCTGGATCTACATTAGACATAATGCCAAATAAAATAGACTCGGGCCCGAATAACTTGAATTCTATTTAAGCTGTCTCTTATGGGGGG